CAACAAATTTGAGAATTTTTATCAGAACAATTAAAATGAGTTTTCCAAGCTACCATACCTTTATAATCACCATTAGACTCCTCCAACTCTTTCTGAATCCTCTGCACTCTCCTCAGATTGACACACAGACATTCTGAAATGTTCATATTGGCAGTTCTGGTGTGAATGCCAAGCTGTACAGCATGCTGTTTCCAAATTTTCTGGCAGAGTGAATTGCATCATGATACTCTTTTTCTCACAGATGGTGCCCAACTGATCCTACTCTACTGTGCAATCAACAAAATCAAAAACAAACGTGCATGCATGAAATCATAAATATGAAAAGGCAACAATTTACCCATCACACATTGTATATAGATCAACTAGACCAAGAATAACTACATGATCCAGTATTGAGTTGAATAGTGCTAAGAATAAGAAGAAATGCACAAAATAATTGTTCCAAAGCAAAAAGACCATGACACCGGGAGTGGCAAGGTAGCTCACGTGAGCTCAATGCCTTCATGGAATGAGATTTAGGCAGATAGACATGCCTACAGTATAGCACCTATAGTTACATAACACTTACAGTATATTAAATATTTTATGTAATTTAGAGATGATTGTAAATATACAAGAGATTGTGTGTAAGACATATGCAAAGCCTACATCATTTTATGTAAGGGACTTGAACATCCATGGATATTGGTATCCATGAACTGAGTGGGTGGAAACCATTACTGCTTGGAAATGAAGGGATGCATGTGTGACACTATTTAACACTGGTAACTGGAAAAGAGGGGTTAATGGGTATATCAACAAATGTACTGACAGTCATGTAAAGATTTTATTTTCAAAGAAAGATTAAATTATCAAAGAATGAGAATTGCGGGAACAATAATTTTGCAGAAAAGCACAAAAGGTCATAAAAGTGTCAGTTGTGAAAACATCAAGATAAGTAAACTCAGCAAGGAAACGGCCTGAAGACGCCAGAATGAGAACAAAAGATTCTCAAGTTTATGAAAACGCAAAAATGTCAATTTGGCATTGATTTATGAGGGGCATTAAGAAATGTTGGTTCAAAATCTAGAATAGGCAAGATTGTCAAAGATATGATCTACCATACCAAAAATGGAGAATAGAGAGTCTTTGTAAACAAAGTAATAAAGTTTGGAGAATGGCCAAACACAAAGGGTCATGTGTTAAATATCGGAATTTTGACAGGATGAGAAAAAGTTTGCATAGGCAAAATTCCAGACAGGGTAAAAAACCCTACATAAGCAAAATGCTAAAAGATAAAGTCTTCTAATTAATGAAGTAAGTTAGGCCACACCAAAGCAATTGAGAAGCCATTGGCTGGGTAGTAGCTATAGCAGCAGGTGTAGGCAAGACATCAAGAAAGGTGGAAAATTACTAACATCCATCAAGGAGTGTTAGTGTGAGATGACAATAGGTGAGAGGAGAAGTGTAGGCAGATTGATATCCTGTAGCCATTCCTTGCGGAAGAAGAGATATCACCAAAATTGTAAGTATAATCAATTTTTGGATAATGGACATTTGATTTGGGAGAATCACCAAGACCTCAGACTGCATCTTGCCCCATGGCAGTATTGGGTAGGAGTTCATATAAGCAAATGCTTCAGGTGAGGAAATGAGAAGAGTTCACAGAGGAATTTGCAGTGATTCATCAGAGTCAGCTCGCTGAGACTACCCATGTGATTCCTGCCAATTACAAGAACCTTTGACTTCAGCCTTGCACCAACGAAGCAGAACTAAGCTAAAACAGAAAAAGCTGAAAAAAGCTAACACGGAGCAGCAGAACTATGCTACAACAGAAAAGCAAAACAACGTTAAACCAGCAATAAGAGCTTTCCCAAAGCACAAAGTGTCACTCTTGGTTAGAAGCGGGTTGGGTAGAGAATTGCTCTGTAAAAAAGAACTGATATAATTGGAATTTATTTTCTTAATTCACGCGTCATTTCTTTTTGGTCTTTTTATTGTTACATTATTATCTTGTTTGAACTAATCCAGTACCAGAAACCTCCTGCAACAATTCTATCTTGACTTTCCTATGATCTAAAACACAACGTGGGATAGGACAAGGCCGAGATTTAAGTGGTCACTTCAAAGACTAGTTGCGGGTGTTGCATGTCAGAGATGACTGTGACTGGACTGGTGCGGAAGGTGTTACACATAATAAGCAGGATTCTCAAGTTAATAATAGATACAAACAAAATAAACTGGTAATTTAAGATAATACCAAGGAAAATGCCATGCCTCTACCTTTAACTCAACTCTTCAAGTTTGGTTCACCACTACTGTGGCCTGGTATCGAACTCACATCTTTTGATCTAACCAACGTCTTGGAGTGTTGAGTTAAAGGGAAATAACCGAGACATCCGGAAGAGTCATGGCACATGGAACTAGAACAATCTACCCCAGTGTACGAAATAAAAGGTTTGGCTCGAAATTCCAATCACCTGAAGAAGGCTGGAGTGTACAACAGCCAAATTATTGTGAATATGGCAATGAAGATGAGGATAACAGTCTGAATAATGCAAATAATGTAAGTAATCATAATACCTCATCTCAAGGCTATAGACAGATATTGAAAGACATTATTATGAATGATGAATAGACTGAGACATACTGTAATAGAGAATGATCTCACAAAAGGGAAAGAGAAAGGAAACAAGGGAAAAGAAGAGAAAATGTAACAGAACAGACATACACCCTTGTGCAAATTAATTGAAATAACCTCTTTAGTTTCCATTTTTCCCCATACAGTCCGTTTTAGATCGACTAGAGTGACAGGGTGTAATTGATTTCTATTTTTTCCTCAGATTAAGTCATTTGCAGTGGTGTGCAGTAATATGAACCTATTTTCGAGGGGGTATGATGAAATTTGTTTGGCCTTGAAAAATATTGTATCATCTGTGATTTCATCAGATTTTCATCATGCCCAGACACTATTGTTTTGACTGTCAATTAGTTGTCCTATGGCCATTGTCTGTGATGGACATTACTCCAAGGAAGCATATGAAAATTGTAATGCTGAACAAAAACACTGGTAAGCCTTACCAGTGAGCAAATCAAGACTGACCTAGAAACTCTCCTGATTTAAATCCAATTGAGAATCTGTGATCAATCTGCAGGGAATGACTTCATGGAATAGACATACGAAATACTAATATGTGAACTGGGTCATGTTTCCTTGGAAAATATAATAATACGTAAATAATAATGGAATTATTCATTTTGTTTCAATTAATTTATACAAGGGTGTAGACATGTCAAAAGCATCAAGACACTGTGCTGTAGTCATACAAAGAAAGGAGGCCATAAATAACATCTCCTAGACAAGAACACAAAGGTTATCCATATTCAACTTGTGTGACTACTGATTTGAATATCAACTACAGCAATATAAATTATACAAGGATATCTTAATACTTACTAGTTAGTTTATGAGCTGTATTATTTAAATTATTTGACTATCTTAATGCTTATTAGTTAGTCAAATGATCTAACTCTTATTAATTAGTCAAGTGATGTAGCAATAACTAGTTAGTTAAAAGAACTGACTATTAATTGGCAAAATGTGGGTAATCAGAAAGAAATGGAGTAGCAAAATTTCTAGTTTTGTGCTCCACTTAAACCCAACCTGTAAAGAAGACAGATATTCACACAAACAGCTTTTTGTAGTGGCAGATTTACAGACAAAATTCAGCCAATTAAGAATTTTAAAATATTTAAAAAATACAATTTAAAAACAAAATTCAAAAATCTTTAATGCTGAACACTCTCCTAAAACCATGGCAAATGGCATGAATTGTGTCAGCATACTTTTCCATTGCCTCCTACTATTTCCCGACTTTTCTACTGCCTCCTACCATTTCCCGACTTTCCTATTGCCTCCTACCATTTCACTGATCCTCAATATCACTTCAACACTCACTGTATATTTTTCATTTTGTCTATTATTTCTTATCGAAAACATTGTTTGCATCTTTTAACTATTTTTCCTCTTAAATTTGGGTTAGAAATTTAACAAAAATTTTACTCAAATTCAATAATTAAAAATTTTATTATCTTTTTAAAGCAAGGATTTTTACTTCAGATTTTTCTCATGCAAATTTGTCTTTGCTTACAGATAAAAAAAAGAAGAATTACCCTACCACTTTTCATAAACATCTCCAGTTCTCAAGAGCATGCACAAATGATTTATATATTAGAATTTTTCCAATCCTTTGTCTTACACTTACTGTTGTAGCACAAAGATGGATAACCTCTCTAAAGTTAATAATAGATACAAACAAAATAAAGTGGTGGTTTGAGATAATACCAAGGAAAATATATATAAACAAAACAATATATAAACAAACTGAGTTTGAATTCTCTCAGCAGATGTTTGAACACAATGATAAAATAATTTGAATATATTTCAATTTATCCTGTCCCATTGCTCCATATCATGACCAAAAATGTCATGTCCCTGGTATATTTTGATTGATGATGAAAAAGACAGTAGGAGCACTTGGGTAAACCACTCTCCCATACATACTTTAGTAGATAAGGCAGCATCTAACAGAAGCTGTTATGCCTATATGAAATTCTGACAAGGATTCAATCAAGAAAGCTGGTGAAAGCAGTCATGTTCCTTTTCTTGAATATATGTGATTTGCCATGAGATTCTCAGGAAAATGACTGGAATGGTTTTCTGTCATCTTCTCCAGTTTTGAAGTGAGGGTTGTCTTTAATCTAAGCCAGCTACCATCCAAGGCTCAAAAGCCCAGTCTATCCTGCTATTTAGTGCATAAATAGGACAGAAAAAAAAAGAGATGGATTCATGCATTTCCCAAGAGTGTCAGCACAAAAGTGACCTCAACAAAGAAGATAGGGATTTGAACTTGGCTCTCCAATTCCACACGGATGATCATTAACCTACAACCCCCACCTGTCAAAAGTAAACAAAAAACACCAAATATTAAAAAAGAAATGTGTAAATACATAGAATTTACCTGGAAACCAAAAGGAAGATGAAATTGGTTTTCCATCTGTTTTCCAAATCCAATTTTTTTCCTTTACTCCATCAGTCAGCCAGTAATGCTTTTCTACAAGACAAAAAATTTTCACCAATAAGAAGGAAAATATACAGTTACTGGGATCATCTTTTAATTAACAATAAATGGATGATAACAATAAGCAAAGGATATAAGTATTGCTTTACATTCATTCTTATATAAACATCAATTTGGCTAAATAAACATTTATTTTAATATTTCTTTCCTCCTTCAATGGAGTGCTTCATCAGAATGAAGTCATTCTACGTCATTTTTGAAGATATCAAGGAATTTCATAGCACTTAACTAATTGGTACTTCAACTAGTTTTAAATGAAGGCTTAAAAATGATAGTACTTTATAGAAATTATAGCATTTTTTAAATTATTTGAGATTACTGAGAACTTAAAAATCATATATAAAAGGTGCTCATGTTATATTCTTCATTTATTTTTACAGATCCCCCCTGCCATAGAACAACATTAGATAAATGTCCACCCGTCAACACATGTCAACAGCTACTGCCATGTTAAAATATGGATTTCTGCAATACTTTAAACTTAATAATATTTGTTTAAAACCCCTGGAGCCTCATCTTTGGTCCTACTCTGTTTTGAATTTTTATAAATGAGCTTCCCAATGACATCAGCTCTCAACTTGGTATCTACACTGATGACACAACCATTTACTCCTGCCTCAATAGTAAGGCTGATCAGTCTGACATAATGGCAGCCAATGTCCAAAATAACCTTGAGTCTATTGTTAATTGGAGCAAAAGATGGCTTGTTAATTTTAACACTTCCAAAACTAAACTGCTCTCTATTAATCAGATCTCTCTCTGCCTTCCATCAGCATAGTTGATGCATATCTCCAGATTAGTGGCACACTCTTGCATCCTTGAGCGAATGTTCTCAGCTGACACGAAGTGGAAAGACTATGCTGAATCCATTGCTAGGTCAGTTGCTAAGAAAGTTTTCTGCTATTTACCTTGAACTCCTTGATAAAATCCAAACAATCAGCAATATTATTGGTCCTGATCTGGCAGCTTGGCTCAGTCACTTTTGCACCACTGTAAAAAGCCTCTGTGCTTTTTCTATAAATACTTTCATGGTAATTGTTCAGACAAGCTCTTCGCTATGGTACCTAGACTTTTTGAATTTAAGCGCAGTGCTAGACTGGCATTTAGATCTTAGCAATTTACAGTTAAGCTGTCTAGTTATAACTGTAAATTCTATCTTAACAGTTTTTTGCTTGCACTTCTCATTTGTAGAGATCCTGGTTACATTGCAATGTAAATCACTAGCTACTCTCCTCCCATGACTGTTTAAAAATCATGTTTTTGTCATATAGGAAAATCCAACAAGGAACATAAACGAAATATTTGGCAAAAAATACCATTTGTCAGTAACATTTTAAGCACCTTATAGAATGTAAAGTTCTCAACGCAAACCTGTGCCAAACTGTTTTCCTGAATCCTTGATGACTTGGCTGTCCGAAAATGACAACATCAAGATGAAATAATGGAAACTGACTATGGAAAACACAAGTTTTTGATCAATCAGTAAACTTCTGGATGTTTTCAGGCCATGTTATAGGATCCAGACAGCTATTGTTTGCAAATGGAATTATCCACTGGTAATTAATTTCCGATTTGGCTGTGAAAAATGTCACTTGGGGGTTAGCATTAAGAAATTATGCCCAATTTTCTGAGAAAAATCACCTTTTTTATGAAAAAATATTTTTTCACTTAAAAATGATATCATTCAAACTTCATCCCTTTCTCCTTAAGTTGGTGTGAACATCATTGAATAAAAGGAACGGCTAAATGGCCTGGCGATGGGAAATATGAAAGACATGCAGCAGAAAAAACAATGTCGTCTGCTACATGTTGTTGTCATCACCCCGGTCACAAGGTGTTAAAAAGAAAATAAAACACATCAAGCCATTGTTCAAACACGTTTGAAAAAAAAATAAACCTTATATCAAGCCCTGCCAATGTTGACTTTTTTTTCCCCACTCTTTGCTCTTATCTGGGAGTGGTGGGTTTTATTACAAGCTGATAACAAGTTGTTCTAAACATTTATTGCTGGCTGGCTGACCTTTGACCCAGATATGTCAAAGTCAATTTGGCTTAATTTTCCTTACTGTTGCTATTTTTTGGGGAAAAAAAAACAAAACAAAAACTCCTGGTTTCTGGTGGTCAGAAATTGCAGATAAATCTTTCGTCTTTTACTAAAGATTTCCATGGCTGGGTATCAATTTTTTTAACCCCTGGCAGTCATATAATTGAAAATTACCAATGGACTTTGTCGAACTTTGACCCCCTAGGAATGTTGATTTTCTTCAAAACTCTCAATTTTATGCCTGAAATAATTTGATTATGATTTAGGCTTTCTGATTTTCAAAAAAAAAAGGCTAATTTCCCATTAATGGGGAAATTTTTGCTTAGAACTAGAAAAAATGTAAAAATTTCACTATTTTTTCACACTTTACCCCCTGAAAAAATTTTTTGAGTCATTTACACCAGCCAATTTTACTTTTAAATGAAAGAATATATTTTGCTTTCAGAAAATACCTAGTTTCATGGGGTTCAGATCAAAAGTTTCCTTGATATTTGTTCAGATGAAAACAAAATGATCATTTTTCAATATTTTACCCCTATAAAAGTATGAAAATCCATTTTTTCAGAGAAAATAAGCTGTGACAAAATTTTTACCATAGCAAACCTGAATTGACTTTATTTAAGTTTAGTGGGTCTATAGGAAACCTCAAACAGCTGTGCTCTTGATTTTACTCTTTTTCTCCCCATTCATTAGTAATGTTTTTGTTCCTAATTCTTATACACCCATTAACCCCTTGTGTCTTAGTGGCTTTTCTGCCTTGCATGGGATGAAACAGAAAAAAATCAGATTAGTTATACTTTAAATGAGCCAACATTTCTCAAAAAAAGTTTCAGAAAAGTATATTTTATTTTTGGAAGATTTTTTAATAAAAAGAATGACATTCTGATGACAGATTGCTAAAAATGGTGATAAAATAAAAAAAGCTTCAAGAAAGATTTTTATTTTTAAAAATTCATTTTAAACCTTAGACATTGTGAATCTGTGGCGGTATCTATGTTAGATGCTTTAATATCTTCATTTAGCTGCCAACAAAATCATATTTAAAAATCTGAGTTAAAATACATTTTTAGAATAAAATTCCACATTCTAAGTTAAAAGAGAAATCTAAGCATACTCAGTGAATGTAATTTCTACAAAAAGACTACTTCCTCAGAGTAGTTTAATGTTATACAATCTGTATCTTTAAATGTTGTAGATATTTATTTCTGTAAATGTACAGTAATTGTGACACAAGGCAAAATAAACTTGGGTGTGAGTATAAAAAATTCTAATTGTAACAATTAACGTTTAACTAAACAAAAAGTGTGTGGAAGACTGATATGATGCAGTCAGTAAGTCAGTTTCTCTCTGCTTAGTAATTACAATTTCCTTTTCACCATACTTACTCATGGCTTGAGAGTCTAATGCAGATATTAAAGCATGAGAAAATATAATAGATTATATGTATAGCATTACCTTTTCTTATACGCAGGATAGAACTGAGAAAATTATTCTCTTCCTGAGTCTCAATTTTTACCAGATTTCCATTTACTGATTTGCACTTGTTTTCAGCATTTAAACGAGAAATACTTCCACTAAAAAGACGGTAGCAGCCAGTTGGCCCAGTAATCCATTTGTCTTCACAACCTGAAAATACATTGATAAGATTCATTTTTATGTTTTTGTTCAGTTGGTATTTTCATATCAATGTTAAGCTTACCATATATCCTAATTTGACTGAGACAGTCTCAGTTTCAGGGGATCAGTTCTGGTGATAAAAGCTATCGGTATTTGTTTCTTTGTGTCAGCCCTGAAGCTTAAGGAGTCTTGAGTTATGAAAACACTGTATCATACAAGAAAACTAAACCTATAATAAACATTGAAAAGCATCTCTGTCTGAAGCCTGGAAATTATGGTAAGCTTACTGTTAGTTTTACTCATTGTATTAACTTCTTCACCACAAGCATAAACCAGAGGTTCCCAAAATGTGATCAATGGTGCCATGGGGTGCTACAGCTTGCTCTCAGGGATGCTACAGGATACTTAAAGATTTTAATACATTCATATCCTGACATACAGAGGAATCCATTGGTCTTCACAGCCTGAAAAAATACATTGAAAATATCAATTCTTATATTTCTTTTTTTCAGTTGGTATTTTCATATCTCTGGTTGGCTTATCCTACATCCTGGTCTGAGGGTCTGTCTGGGTGATATAAGGTATCAATATTTGTTTTCTTTGTATCAGCCCTGAAGCTTAAGGATTCTTGGGTTAGGAAAACACTTTATTATACAAGAAAACTAAAACTATTATAAATATTGAAAAGCATCTTCGTCTGAGGCCTGAAAATTATGGTAAGCTTATTGTTAGTTTCACTCATTATATTAACCTCTTCACCACAGACATAAACCAGAGGTTCCCAAAATGTGATCAATGGTGCCATGGGGTGCTACAGCTTGATCTCAGGAATGTTGCAAGATACTCAAAGATTTTAATATACTTGTATGCCAATTTATTTTTGATAGAGGAAACAAGTGAACTGACTTTAAAGTGGGTAATCAATTTACAATGTATGTATAATGAAAAACTGTACTCTTACTTTGTGCTCCACTTTACAACACCCCATGTTTAAATTATAATATAAATGTTTGGTTGGAAGAAAAGTGCATCACATTTTTAAATAGGTGGTATTTGAATACATGATTTCATTTCACATGTGACTGAAATGTATAGCATATGTACCTATACTAAAAGATGATATTTCAATAAATCTCTCTACAGAATTTGGGGTTGGCTTTTGGATTTTAAATGTTTTCATATTAAATATGAAAATGGAAGAAAATGAGATGCATTTTATTTTAAGAAAGAAAAAATACTGTACAAACAGCAAAAAAAGATGTGTGCCATTTATGAGTAAGAGATAAATGTTAGTAAGTAGTTCATTAAGTTCAGAAGCGTAAATTTGGATCTAAAAGGCTGAGGATGTTCTGACAGGCTTGAAGTTATTCATGACCAAATTGAAATACTGATTAAAATAATTCAGGTTTTATGACACAGGATATCACAGAGATACTCAACATATCTCATATAAGCATTGGAGGGTATTTGAAAACATTTGGATATAAGAATTGATATGATGCCTTGGTGTCTACAACTTTAGGGAAAAATGGACTGCATTTCCATCTGTAATTCTCTGCTCAAAAGCAATAAAAAATACAGTTTCGAAAAGAAAAATTACAGGTCATGCAAAATAGATTGTTTAAAACAATGGTGGGTGAAAAAGATCCTAGGGAAAATGAAATGAGCCACTGTTAACTAATCAAAAATCTATGCTATATATCTGATGAGATTGGAAGGTCAGTGTATATTACAAGCTCCTTTCACAAAATCAAACATTGAATTCAGAGAAATACTGTTTCTCATGGAACAAAATGGCATATATGTAATTAAATGAATCTATTTACAAATATCTAAGCACTGTCTTTGAAATTTCCTTAAAAATGTCAAAAGACTTTTGCTCAGACCCAGTATATCTGAAAGTAGAGTATTAGAATATTACACTATAAACTGAGCATTCTGTTCACTCACTGTGACTAGAAGTAACATTTCCTCAAAAATGAAACATTTCTGGAAGAAACAAAAGGTTAGATTCAGTCTAAGTCCAGAGGGAAAATATTTTTCATAATTTTTTATTTAAATTTGCTCAGAGACTTATTTTACTTTTAATTATTAACTTGACTACATGAATATAAATACTGTTGCTCAGTATTTTCTGATTTAATGCTTACCGAGTAAGGGTGTCGTGATTTGTCAAAATTTTGTGATCACTGGCATAATTTACAGTGTGCATTGAAGTGGTACATCTCTCTACTAAATGATGGAACCATCAGAGTCTCTTTTTTATTTACTATCATAACCCTTAATTGAAAACATTGCAAATTCTCATCTAAGCTCAAATTGATTCTTTGTATAAAATTAAAAGTTTCTTTTCCAGGTTCAACTTGATCTGCAGAGACACATTTTGAAGTTAAAAAACAAAAAACTTCTTGTTCTACTAACCTGTATTTAAGTTACAAATCACACCAGCTGCTTCGTTCTTGTCACAGTCATGATCAATATTATATGAACATTTCTGCAATCGCTTTTCATCTCCAGCACATTTGACATCATCCATCAAATATAAGCCATCTTCAGCCTCTCCATACCAAGAAGCACTAACAAACTTTGCTGCTCCTCTGAAATATGAAAAGAAACCTAAGACAAAATATCTAAACATCCATATATTAAAATGGAATATATCCAAGGCAAGCCAGCTGAAAATATTATCTTATTATTTCAATGCAATAAAATAAATAATATAGTTAACATTTATGAAATCAATACATGCTGGAACAACTTTGTTGAAAAAGATTTAAAAACAGAATTAGTTCACATATTTTATTGGTTTTCTTCCACTCTTTTCCTTTCTCAAGAACTCAATAGGTACTGAAAACTAATCTGGGTCAGACAATGTAAGTTCAGACTGGTCACAACAGAAATTAAACAGCTGAAGAAACACCTGAGAGGTTAAAGGCAATACTCCACATGCCATATTAATCAGCTCTAACAAAAGCAAGCTAGGGCTTCACATTGTTCACATCAGTGACAGAGAAGAAGAAGGATCCAGTTACTGAGAAAGTTAAGACCCAAACCATCAGGGTTACTAAATTCAGTAAAAATCAAAACATAAAATTTCTTTAAAAGTAAAAATAATCAGCTACTTAGAAAAGTTGTAAAAAAAAAAAAATTACAAGGCAGTTAAAACTGAAGGAATTCTGTAAGTTTACCAAATTACAACCTTAAAGTCAATGTTGTTAATATTTTAGAAGACATTTAAAAATTAAGGCCCTGAAGAAACATCAAAGTTCTATCTATTGACTGTGAAAAGCTGTATTGGTCATTCCAGTCTAGGTTGATAGAAAAAGGAAAATCTAGCAGGGGCAGCTGCCTCAGCCAATAGCCACCCCAGGGCCATTATCTCTACTATAAGTACCAAAGTCACTGTTACTACTTCTACTGCTGATATTGATGCTGCTTCAGCTGCATCACTAGAAAAGGAAATTGAAAAAATATCATAGACTGTGTATTTCCCAACCATCATGCATCTTTGTTGCTCAGACACCTCCCTCAAAATCTTTCTTTCCTTGCACAAAAGCTCCTTTTTTCACCCTCTCCTTCCCCTTCCACCACCTTTATTTCCAAGTATATCTTAAAAACAAACTAGCCACCTTTATTTTCAAGTATATCTTAAAAACAAACTAGCTCCTTCAAAAAACTTCAGAGGAAGAGTAAACCCTACAGAAAAATTAACTTCAACAAGAAAAATATCACACAAAGGACAATAAAAAAATATTACAATCACAATATTAGAACAGTGCCAACCAAGATATACAAATGTAGAGGACCTTAAAAATTTTCTTCCAATATAAAGCTGTCAGAATTGGTCTGGACAAATGACAGATCTGGTCAATGTTGAAGGTGACAAACAAAGCCTTCAAGATGTTGAATCCATTGAAAGATTATAGCCATGAATAATTGAAGTAATTCAAACAATATTGTCCAGTATGGGTACATCAGATTTATGCTCCCATTCCTTCTATAAGATTATTAAAATAACATTTCCAAGAGACTTTGGAGGTTTTTTCCTAAGACAGTATGGTCAAGACTGAGATGATCCAAAGATCTATAGGATAGGCTGTCAGTATCCTAACTCCCAGTATGTTTTTCTCAGTAGACCAGCAGCAGTCAACAGATTATGGCACTTTGGTTAACGAGTTTAAATGGCTAAGACATGAAGATTGTGTCTAAAAGGGCTAGACACATCTGATTCCTCTAGCACTGTTGTGTGGATATATACTGTGTACAAGAGGCCCATCTTATTCCAAGTAATTGTGACAGCATGCTGTCAAGGAGATTTCACCTTTTCCCAGCATATTTTCATAACTATTCAAAACATGTCTTTTGGCTGGCAAATGATGCAGACTGTACTTGCTGGATGTTACTATCCAGGAGAAAGCAACAGGGATTGGGATTTCTTGTTTGAGAAGATTGATAACTTTATATCGATGATACAGATAGTTTTAGCAGATGGACTTTTATAGATAGTGACAACACTGATTCAACATTCCAGCTATATTGACTAACTGAGGGAATGATTGAGTGATTTGTTTTTATGGCTTATCAACTCTCTGTGGGTTATTTAAAACTGAAACATGTTTTGGGGATTGTAAAAAAAATAATTCTATTTTTTTTGCAAATAAATATTGCATTAACAATATTTTTAGAATAACAATGATTTTTCCAGACAAGTCCTATTATTTAATCCTTAACTGGGGAGGAAACAGATTCACACCTTTCCCAAGATTATTTGCATATAAGTGAATGTGCTATATTGACTGAATTTTATTTATGAGAGTTTAATGAGGGCTCTTATATTATCCAAATTTCCATAATATAGTTTATTTAGACTATATGCTAGTCTGGGTTTGAGTAAATTTAGATAAGTCTAAACCTAGATTTACTGGTTAGTGGAAATTTAACACACAATTATTGGATGTGAGGAATTTCTGAGACCAACTAATACTAACCCTAAAGTGAGAGTTGACAGGGGATTTGGTGCTTGGGAGTAAGTGGTTGGACCACTTTAAAAGTAACAGTAAATCTGCTGCTGACTATTTTCAATAACTTAACATAGATAATTTTCTGGCAGAAAATGTAATTGAATCTAGAATAGACAGGGCTGTTAAAAACTGTAATTGAATCTAGAATAGACAGGGCTGTTAAATTGGAAGATGTATGCAAAGCAAGAAGGATCAGACTCTAGTAGTTAGTTCCAGATACAAAGCACATCTGTTGAAGAAATGAACACGGTTTACAGATTTGCATGCAGAAGTAGTATGCAATATCACTGATCAACATATTGCCAGAAATTAAGTTATGTATGGACAAACCGGGTGCTGTAAAATATGGCAAAGTTATGTATGTTGACATGGGGGTAGTACCTATCCAATTACTCTCCAAAAAACTACAGGGTAACAGGCAGAGAAGGGGAAGAGACAGGAGGAAACAGAATAACACTGCCTCAGAAACAACAGCACAGTGGCCAGTACATAACTTGAGGAAGAAAATGTCCAAGGTAACAACTTCACAAAACACCAAGTCTTGCCAACTGCCCACTGTGGTTTTTCTTGTCACTTTTATTGAAAGGAAACAGTAGACAGAAACCCTGATCTGGAAGAGTTATATCTGGATATACCAAGCAATTCTGCTGCTAACAGGAGGGAGAGACCCCGGATGTAACTAGTTTTGACAGACATATTCACATGCAATTCAGGGCCTCATTTGTGTCTGTACTGATGTGTATTTGCTATATTTGGTGGGAATTGGACCAGTAATTTTTGTTTTTTAGCTGCAGAGAATTTCATCAAGGTCTTTGCAAATCACTCACTTACAGAGCCTGCTGGATTGTTTGATAGTCCTTAAATAGATTTGTGTTGTAAAAACTTGAATGATCCAAGATAACCTGAACTTGGTATACATCATCATAAAATTGATGCTGAAACCTCAACAAGTTATTTAAATCAGTCAAAGGTTTTTATAGGGCTAACTTCCTTTGAGGTTGCCTCATCAGTGGCTAGATTCAAGCCACACTTTTGCATTTGGATTTGCCTCTTGTACATGACCACAGAGTTATGGTAGAAGTGAACAGAATAAAATGAAAGTTTTTTATATCCAAATCTATTTGTCAAGGTTGTCCACAGTTGCCCATGCTATATGTCCTTATGCTGAAGTTTTACCTATGCAGTGAAGCTAGTCTTATGTGGAATCACATTACCTGTTACTACCACCTTAGCCAGGAATTTTGCCTATGCTGACAATGGTTGTAACTTAAAATATCCAGATTGACGAAGTAGGCAAGAATATCTGCTTGTAGGAGGTGGTAGCAGGGGCCAAAATTAACTGCAATAAACCTGCTGGTTTGCTGTTTGGGCTTGTGTAGAAATGAGTATTCATTCTATCATGTATGTTAACTTACTCTGAGTTTTCTTTCATGTACTGATGAGCCCCGGATATCTGGCTGTTGTCAAAAAAGTATTATATCAAGTGTTAGTAAGGGATGATGTGTGAGATCATTTGACAATCAATTTGATGGGAGTTTTACTCCATCCTTGGACACTCAGGATGAAATACCCCAATAATGAAGGGGCATCCCTAATCTGGTTGGTGATTTGAGGCAGGCTCTGGGTTATCAAAATGTTTTTCAGAGTGGAACTGGTTGTTTTGTCAGAATATGTCTGTTGCAATGATATGAAGAAGTCCATCAAACATGATTATTTTCACCATGTATTTGTACATCCAATATAAAGTTAGTTGAAGGCTACACATTTTGTATACTTTGTAGACAGTTTTTTTTTCTTGGAGGCTAGTTCTGTTTGTAACAATGTGGACTAATTACTTGACTGCATGTTTCTTAACCATGATAGAAATGGTATTTGAGTGATGTGAATGAAGTCTAGAGATTTGTCTTTTTCTCCCTAACATCTGGTTGCCTACTTTCAGTACTAACTTAAAATTAAGTTCAGAAATAGAAGGAAAGAGTAATAACTCACCCCAAGTAAGGTAATAAAACTACTAAGATATAAAGATTACAGTGTGAAAGAATATTAGGAAAAGAAAACATTAATAAGAGAATAAAAGAACAAGAATTAAGAAGAAAGATAATGATTGACACTGCATTTAAATTTTGGAAGACCAAAGTTGACTGGAAAGCAAGAGACTGGAAGAGAATTCCACAAGCAAGAAAGTGAGAGAAGAAACTGTTAGCATAGAATTTAGTTACATTTATCCATTTCAACTGTAAAATGAGGAGACCTAGTTGCCAATTTAGTGCTATGCTTAAATTCATAAAATTGAGGTACCAAAAAGGAAAGGTCTTCAAAACAATTTAAAATTTTTATAGATAAAGCACAGGTTACCTACATTATGGTGGTGGGAAAGTGACTGAAGCCGAGATCCCAGGTCAGGGCCAATAACATTGCAAATACTTTGGACTTTATGAAATATCTCTAAATACATGACAGAAGCTGCAGACCTGATGTAACAGCAATATTTAATGTATAGACAAATGGTAAACTTATAAATGTATAAAATAGATTCTGGCAAGAAAAATTGTCTCACATAACATAATAAACCAACTTTCTAAGTAGCAAATCTAGCAAGTGATTTAATATAATCTTTCGACTTCATGTCAGCAGAAGACATTAACTCAAGAAGGCACAATCCTGGAGGTTAGCATCACTAGGACGGGAATAAATCATCAGCATAGATACTGAATTGAGAACTGATAACATCAGTAAGGTTGTTGATGAAAATTAGGAACAACACAGGTCCAAGGATAAAACACCCACATTAATACAAAAAGCTCTAAAAGAATGACTGGTCAAGACAACTTTCATTTCACAATTTGATAAGAAAAATTGAATCAGATCAAAAATAAATCCAGAAATATCATAACCTTTCAACTCGTGAAGATAAGTATGTCAAACCCTGTCAAATACCTTTAAGATATCCAAAGTGCCAGTACAAGTTTCTCTATTCTTATTTATCTAGTATTTTGACAAAAACAGTTAGAAGGCTAACAGACTGATAGAAGGATCGGACGGTTCTTAAAAACTGGAACTACAGAAGAGAATTTCTAACAAGCATTAAATTAAGAAGCAGCAAGACAGCAATTGTAGAATTTGGAGAGAGTAGGATCTAGTTCAGGAGCACAATTTCTTAAGAACTATTGAAGGGATACCATCAGATCCATATGTTCTGTTGGAATCCATTTTAGAGATGATAGCAAAAACCATAGATGGTGTTATATGTATATCACACATTAGAGTGTGAGTTCTAAGTGAAAAGCCAGGCAAAGATACTCTAGATGAATCAAGAGTAGAACCTGCTAAACAAAAAATGTGAAGAAAGAGATTGAGTACCACCAGCAAAGGAGATGTGCACAAAGCAAATAAGGCAACTAACAGGACAGAAGACATGCTTGTCAACAGGCTGTTTAAAATCAAAGGATGGAACACTCATATTAGAGAAGGAAAAAATTCTTCAATTTTGGAGTGAGTATATTGGAGAACTCTTCCACAACAAAAGAGAACAACGACCAATACACAGAACTACTGATAGACCTGAAATTCTAAAAACTGAACAGAAACAAAGTGGCAGGGCCAGACGGAATTGTAACAAAAATGCTGACAGCCTTAGATGACTTTGGCATAGACAAATAAATGAAATCTACAATGGTAGGAATATACTGGAAGATCTCAGCAGATTTATCTTCATAGTAATGCCCAAAAAAACAGGCACAAATGAATGTGAATTCTACTGAACAATCAGCTTAATGAGTCATGTAACAAAACTCATCATCTGTATTCTGATGAATGGAGTGCACAACAGAATCAGGCCAGAGATAGGACAAGAACAATGTTGGTTCATTAAAGACAGTGGAACAAGGAATGCAATATTCATGCTCAGAATGTTATCAGAAAGAGCAGTACAAATGCAGAAGGACATGTACCTAGGTTTAACAGACTACACAAAGGCCTTTGACAAAGTATGCCACAAGGATCTGTTGGAACTGTTCAGTAACCTTGATATATTCAGTAACAATATTAGAATAATCAAGAACCTATACTGGCATCAAACAGCATGTATGCACATAGAGAACGAATTCAGCAAATATACAAAAATAGAAAGGGGCATAAGGCAAGGATGTATAAGGGCCAGTCACTATGGTATGTTGGAATCTCACCACCAAAGTGATTTTGCCTTGCTACTTGGCCTCCCTCCCCTTACCTAACCAACCACAGCACAGCAGTCTTTGAAATGGAGACATATTCTGTTAAAGCCAGTCACAACATTTCACTAAATGACCAATGATTCGACTTTAGCAAGATTTAACACAAGGTTCCAAGTGTAAGTATTAAGAATCACTTTTCCATGATGCTGTCCTGACATATTTTATTTTGTTTTATTTACTTATTCATATATTATTTTTTTAATTTTAATTTTCAGACCAGTAAGGTTAATTTGTAAATTATAAAAAAAAAAAATTGTCATATAAGTGTATATAGCATGTATAATGAAGCTTACTTGAACTTTTTGACAACTAGTGAGACTTTTATTTGCTAGATAAAAGAGGGCAGGAAAATGAAAGAATATTTTTATTTATTCCTTTGCTTTGTTTTATGAAATGTTTTATGAAAGTCACCATTCTCAGTGGTTGGGGAAATGAAAAGGTTTACCACCATTGCCTAGATAAAGGGAATGACTTGAAATTCCATGAATTTTACTTATTATGACATGCACCTGATGAAGTTACAATCTGGTTGAAACAGATGGGTGACAATTAATATTATAGAAAATTTAAAAAAATATTTACTTCAATAAATAAATTTACTTCAAGAAAATAACTTTTCTTAAGAGATTAAGATCTTAATGCTTTTCTACCTAATAGTGACACCTTACTTTTTCGGCCTTTGAGTCGGGATCATAGTGTAGTATCTGTTTCATTTTTTTTTTTTTTTTTCTGTGATTTCAGGCTAAGTTTTAAAATGCAGCATAATGTTCTTGCTTTTGGCCAGTTCGTGAACCTAGCCACAAGGAATTTTAGCTTTAAGATAGTACCTCCCCTAACGCACTATAGCAAGAGGGTGGAAATATTTAGATGCCTGAATAGCAATAGACAATTGCAATACAGCTACATCATATAAAACTGACCATATATCATATCTGCCCATTATAGTGGTGTAGTATCAGTGTGTTCTTTCTAATCAAGAACCCTACATCATAATCTTAAGAACGAAAGAATTGGGAAAAGCTAAGGAGAGGAAAACAGGTAAAAAAGGCCATGTGAAGTAGGGAATAACTCAGAAAAAAAAAATAAGTAAATTCCTGTCTGAATTTCTGATGACTTATTATTTACATGCAGATTATGTTGCTATCACAATGTTTCAGCTATTGTGCCCACTGGCCTTCGTAAGATGATTGTCAATCTGAGTAACCTTCAATGAATTTCAAACTAAAACCATTATTTAATTTACGAAGGGAAATTCCATTGTCCATATACAGTGATATCTAATCTAAATTTTATTTAGTACTGCTCAGTTGTTAAGACTGTCTAGCCCAAGGGTTGAACTTGCAATTATTATGTCACCAAATGCATGAACCAACACATTAATCCACTAGACTATTGTCCTGTGTGACAATTCTGTGTGGATAACTTGGAGCCTTAAATCTAACCTGCCTGGCTGATTAGACTTAAAGCCTAGTAAATCAAAGCATTAGTTCATGAATTTGGTGACACAATAATTGAGAGTTTAATCACTAAGCCAGGCAATTTTTATTTACACTCAGTGGAAAAAGAGTGACCAATAACTGAGCAGTACTACATAAGAACTAGAAGAGATATCCCTGGACATGGACAGCAGAATGAGAACAATCTACCCCACAGATTAAATAAAGGATTTAGTTTAGAATTCAACAAAGATTACCTTGATTGACAATCACCTGATGAAGGCTAGAGAGCATATTGGACAAAATGTTGTGATAACAACAACAAAGATGGGAACAATAGTCTCATATAAATAATGAAAATCAAATATATCTATACATATAGAGACAGTGAAGAAATGAAAAAGACAAACGACTTGCATGGAGAGTCTTGCTGTCTAGATATCAAGAGAAAATGTAGAAAAGATTAAAAAACAGATGGAGATAGAAAAGCATAAAAACTGTGACACATTAAAAATTCTTTATGGAGTAAGAGCAAAAGAAAGATAAAAGAGAGGATGCAGTAGAAAGTATTTAGATATTCCTTATCCCATTTTTGCATTTGAAACTAATCTGTGTTTATGTAAAATTTAAATAAAAACAAGGATGGACAAAAACAAGTTGAAAAGGAGATGTTGATAAGATATAGACAAAAGGTAAGCTTAGTTTTCAAAACCCAGGGAATTTCCACAAGTTCAACTAGCACTTATTATTGTTGTTTTTGTCCTATTAATTTTCTATACTAATGATACTATTCAAAACTTTTGTCTCAACCCAATAATTTCCAAATGAAAAAAGTTGAAAACATTTATTTGAATTAGAAAGGAAAACCAAAATAAATTAGTCAATGTAAAGTGTCACTTACCGATTAAATCCAAGCTGTCTGCAAACTACGTTTGCATCCTTGATATCCCAATCATCATCACAGACATAGCCCCAGGAATTATTTCGGAAGACTTTCACCAAGCCACCATTGTAATAGTCAGAATCACCTGCAAGTCTAGAGAAATTAAAAATGATTAAATAAAACTTTATAATGTCTAAGAATACAGGTGGGCAAACCCTGACCTTTGGACAAAATCCAACCTTTATTCACATATCATTTGGCCTGCTGATTATAAGACAAATAAAAAGAGGAAAAGTTAACTGACTTTTATGAATGATAGTTTGTTTTAAAATCTTTTCATCAACAATCTCAGCATTTAGTGTAATATCTTGATGAAGAAATTTCCAAAGATGAAGCATGCTAAATCTACATATAAGTCTATCTTAACTGACCAAAATTTACTATCAATTTGCATGGGAGGACACAAAATTTTAAACCAGAGTTGAATTTAGTTTTATGTCAAGAAAAAAATTGCATTATTCTCATTAATTTTTCATCTTTTACATGAAAGGAATTACATTAGAGTTTATGCTTATACATAATGGAAGATATTTTATGTGGTTTTAAATTAATTTTTAAATATATAGTGTTATCTTATTTTAAGACAGCTGATGGTAATCCTGAAAGAGAACTTTGCAGACTATTTTTAAAAGGTGGAAGGTATACTTAGATAAGTGTATGATGTCCCAATAAGAGGATTTTGAGGTGATATTAAGATATCATTGCCCTAGGTAGTCTATACTAATATTGATATTACTAATATTACTAATATTAATATTAATATATTACTAATATTGTTATACTAATATTGAATGGCTGGATACTTGTTGTACAAAACTTACAAGGGCACAACAATTATGGTTGGATGCTAAAAATAAGATTGTTCTTTCCTATTTCGTTGTGAATGCTTTACTTGACTAACAGGCAGGAATCCAAATATTTACTAAGCTTGGAATGGAGAAACCAGTGTGGATGAATATCATGAACTAGAGAAATAGTCTCTAGAATTATCTTGGTAATTACTGCTCAATGAGAGCTGCACAAAAGTCAAATTAGGTAAAAAAATGAGTACTGATGTTATATCTGGGCTAAAGCTACTCAATCCTCATTTTCCAGTTTTGATATACATTCAAAATTGTTTATGTGGTCTTGTGATGGGGTGACTTAATTTTCGTTTTATAGCCTCTTTCCCACAGATGCAACATTGCAAGTCTATCGTTTATTGCTATTTCCATAGCAAATGTTCAGATAAAGTCGATTCTTTAGTTTCACTAATTAAGACCTTTACAGTTAGGGCTTGTCATGTTATATCCACAGTCAAATCTGCCTCATTTCCTCCATATTCTAATCATAAGGAGGATTTCTACTCAAATAACTTTTTTCCCTAAGAACTACTACTTTGTAAAACAAACTCCTGTGTGGATACATCCTTGAATACTACAATCTTAATCTATTCAAGTCAACAGTCAACCATTATATATCCTCCTTATGTTCACTTCCTCCTTTTACACACACTTCATTGAGTAACCCACTACCATGAGTGGTTCTTGAGATTTGTACAGTATGAATTATAGTAAGAGCAGACAATAATATTCATATTAAAAACAAGAAGTGTAATAATAGCAATACATTTCTGTCTTGCTTGTTATATTACTACTACAGTATTGCTTTTTATGCAACAGAGTTTTAACGTTTTGATATGATGGATTTGGCAACTAGCCTAGAAGGAGAATTCTGAATTTAAAACTGTTGAGAAGGAAACTACTATCCTTCCCACATTATGAAACTTCGTAGATATTAAAGAAGTTGTACAGAACCATCGTCACCTACATTCTGAAGGGATATGGCATTTTTTTTTAAAAAAAATGGTTAGGAAACCTAAAAACAATGACATGTTTTGGACATTACAAAGCAACAGAGACATGCACACTATATATATTTTTTAAACAATTCAACCCAAGCAAGGTAGGAATGCAACTAGCATACAGGGGATTACAGAGGATTGAGAACAAGAGTAAAGAGGTGTGTTTGAGAAAAGAATTGGGAACAGGATCAAGGTACCAGAAGATGTCAATTGACGTTACACTTGAATATATAAACGTTATAGTTATCAAGGAAGCAAGCAAGACAAAGGGAGTTCCACAGACGGGAAGTGCAAGAGAAGAAGCTGTTTGAGTGGAAGAGATGGTTACATTTAACCATTTGGACAGAGAAAGGGCGGGGTGAGATGCCAGCCTAGTAGCTCGCTTGAATTCATGCAGTCTGGGAACCAGCGAAAGTAACTCATCTGAACAGTTGCAGTGAAAATACGTGTAGAAGAGACAGAGGAAAGCCACGGCATGTCTGAGAAAGCAACTATAGATGAGATGCCAGATCAGGACCTATCACACTGCATATTCGTCTCTGGATTTTGTCGAGGACCTTGAGATCACCTGACCATATATGACAGCAATATTCCATGCAAGGACAGATGGTTGACTTATAGATTTGAAGAATGGACTCAAATGAGAAAAACTTTCTGGCACGACACAAAGAACCAACTTTCCTTGTGGTAGATGAAGCTATTGATTCAATGTATTTGTTTCACCTCATGTCAGTGGACAGCATGAGAGCAAGCTGGTGTAATGAGGAGCTCTCAAGGAGTTGGGCATCAGCCATTCTGATGGGAGGCAGGGAGGATTCTCTGTGGTGGGTAAAAGAGAGCAGTTTTGTTTTGGAAGCATTAAAGTTTATATGCCATTTCCTGCCCCAATAAACCACAGATTAGAGGTCCTTTTCAGGATCAGCAGCCAAATTAGTTTTGTCAACAAGATTTACTATTGAGGCAGGAGTAAAAAGTAGTGCTGTCCACGTAGATGCCTACTTGGGAACTGACATCAAGAAGGCCATTAATGAAGATCAGGAACAGAAGTAGGGCCCAAGATAGAGTCCTGAGGAAAACCAGCCTACATGATAAAGGAGCTGGAGTAGAACCCACTTAGGACGACATTTTTTTTCAGTTTGACTAATTGTATTAAGTCAAATAATCATCCTGTAATACCTTATCCCTGAAACTTATAAAGAAGGCCTGCATGCCAAACCCTATCAAATAAAATTGAGATCCAAAAGCCACAGCCAAAATGCTTCTCCGTTATCATGAGGTGCTTTGTATACAAATTCAGTTATGGTCATGAGCATGTCAGTGGTAGATTGGGCAAAGTGGAAACTATATTGCTTGTTGGAGAGCAGATTATGTGAAGTAAGGTGCTTAACTACTTTGGCATTGATTAAAGCCTCGAATACCAAAGAGTGGTAGGAGACTGATATATTTTATATATATTTTATATGTGCACTACTTAGTGGAAAGTACTCAATATCAGTGTGTTATAGTGGAACACACCTATTCTATAGTTAATAGACTCTCCCACCTATAATAAGTAGGAGTAGTAAGAGTAACAAGTGAGTTGCTCAGGGAGTTGGTCAGTCAGTCGATGTCGGAAGACCGTTAGTCGGATATTAAAGTATCAGCCACCCCAACTAGATTACTGCACCATTACCTATTATATCAAGTTCCTAACGTTTTTGCACGTCGAACCTATTTTAGGACCGACTTGGGTGATCATGGTTCTCCACAGCTTCCTATATTTTATCAATTTCAGCAGTATTTTCTTCTTCCTGACTCCTCTTTGTGTTATTTTCCTCTATCCAGTTGCTCAGATTTGTCAAGTACATTACTTGCTGCTTCTCTTGCTTTAGATGCATTGTGTGAGTTAAATTCGCCAGACCTTCTTTCTTCATCATAAATGTCCACACAATTTCAGCTACTACTTTCTGGTTGGTGCCAACAGTTTCATCGTAATTTCTATCCACCTTTAAACTTCTTCATTTGTCACATGCTATAGAATTGTCAACATTCATTGGTAGAACTACATCTCATCATTTCAAGTCCTTTCTTCCTTCACAATGAAACTGTCCAGTATTCAGTGTCATATAGAAAGGTAGACATTATATAACAATCTACTGAATACTATTTCTGATACACTTACCTGATACGATCATTACCAAGTGGTTCATAGATAATGGCTTCCTTGAATCCGGCAGAGTTAGCATCAGGCAAATCTTTCACATCTTCATCCTAAAATAAAAGATTTAAGTTATTTCAGTTCAAAGACAAAATATTTTTTATTATTATTTTTTAATAGTTTTACATTAATTTTATTGTTGCTTTCAATCAAAATATTTGATAAATAAAGTCATGGAAAACAAATGACCATTTAGAATATATACTGAGTACTAGCTGCATGACCTAAATTTAACTTGGAACCTATCAGTAGTTTTACTCTGCATACCTCCTTAACTCTAGTTTTTGAAAAGTCTTTTGTTATTATTGCGACATTTGATCCCAACATTCAAGGTCAAATACTCTGCCTGTTAAAATAAATAGCATGAAGTGACCCTTTATTATGCTTGTTTATATCAATGCAGGAAACTGTGAGAGACCATTTAGTGAACTTGTTATTGTGTGACCATTGTATTTTCAATGACCAATTCTGTCCATTTTAAGTATTATGTGTAAAATTCTTTTGTAAAACATTGTATCATGCAAAGCTTTCAGTATTCTCCCACTAGTCCAGATTTGACATTCTGTAATTTATTGCTTTTCCCAAAGCTCCAGATCTAGATTTTTATATCATACAATAATAAAGTTAAACAAAATAATGAGACTTGGAACTAAGAGTTCATGTTGATGCAATAAGAGAGAAGACTGGAAAATATATATATTATATATATATATATATATATATATATATATATATATATATATAGTGTATTTAGATAGCAATGCCTCTTTTATACATGTTTCATTAAAAATGACAGACAAGGTACTGCAATTAAGCTTTCATTTAATTTTTCTTGTGTTTGAACAAGTGTATTCTTTTCTGGACAGAGAGTGTAGAAACTGTTCAAATGTTCTGTAATTCCAAGTGCTTTCAGCTATACTTTTAGCCATTATCAAGGATGATTTTATTTTTGCTTTTTAATTGTATGGGTTGTGTATATGTTTATAGAGTTATCAGGATGTTTCATTTTCTGAACACAATACATTGTGGCCGTGTTCGTAGTTAATATTATTGAGTGTTGGCTTTTTCTTTTTTATTAATTGCAGTATGTTATCTGTTGTCTTTTATGATATATTGATGTGAATTTGTGACCCAGAGTTTCACACTATTTGCGATCGTTTGTCTGACGTGAAACCCAGGGTCACAAACTCACATCAATCCAACTAAATATGTTAGCTCTATCACTGATATTGAGTGCTTCCCAATAAGTACCATGCATATATAATATATAAAAAAATTGCATATATATATATATATATATATATATATATATATATATATATTTATATTTATATACATACACATTTCACATATATATCGTATCAAGAAACTATTTTATTTTCTGATGGTAAGGGAGCCATCAATAAATTTGTGGTGACAGAATGAAAATTTTGTTTTCAATGAAAAAAAATTCTTCTTTCCATGATGATTTTCAGTACCAATTCATCATGGTAGAATTCTTTAACACTTTCTGTGAGTCATTGGCAATTCATTTCTGTAATAAAATTGGATTAAGGATGTATTTTAGAAAAGGTTCTTACAATACATTCATTATGTTATTAAAAAAAATATAAATGAAAATAACTTACTACATGTGTACGATGTTCTTGTTTACACTGAAAAATAAAATGAATGATGATATGAAATTGTTGGATGCACACTAATAGTTTATTGTGGCAGCACAATTTATATAAGATTAGCAACTTCTACAATAAATATCAATTGCATTATTTAAGCTTTTCATTGATTGATTTTATGAAACTTCATTTTATTAAACTTATATTGAGAACTGAATTTTTAAAACTATATATACATATATTAGATGTGTGCACTAATTTTGAAAACTGAAGACTGAATACTTAGCAGAAAGCTTATTTTTTTAATAAGGCTGAAAAACTTTATGCATACATACACACATCAGAAATAGATAAAAAAATTACATTTATGTAGATATATAGGGTGCAATGAAGAAATTGTCGTCTAAATTATGCAAAAATGAAAATAACACTGACATCTCATTTTAACAGATATATTTACCAAAATTACACAAAAACAACTTGAAATGCTAGAGTAAATTTACTCAATAAAAAATGTCATTGGCTTCAACCATGGCCTGCAGACGATTTTGGAATCTCCTGAAACTCTTCTGGACAGTCTCCTTGTTTTTGATGAATGCTGCCATAATCCTTGCTTTCAGTTCATCTTTGGTTACAAGGAGTTTTATTGGTCTCTCACCGAACCCCACACATAATAATCAAAGGGGTTACAGTCCAGGGAGTTAGGTGGCCACATGAAAGGAGTGATGTGGCCACAGAAATTGTCTGAGAGCCATGACTAGGTGTGGTATGCTGCAGAGTTTTGTTACCAGGCATAGAGTTTTCCAGCAGCCACCCTCTTGACTCAGGGCAGCACTACCTCCTCAAGGCACTTGATGTAGGCCTCCATGTTGAGTCTGAGGCTCTGTTGGAAGATGAATGGAGATATAACGTTGCCATTGCTAGTGATCAATGCAAACACCTTCGTAATCACTATTAGACTCATCCAACTCTTTCCTAATCCTCTGCACTGTCCTCTGATTGACACACAAACACTTCTGAAATGTTCATATTAGAGCTTCTAGCACAAATGCCAAGTATTACAGCATGCCATTTCCAAATTCCTGACAGAGTGAATTCTGTCATAGTGCTCTTTTTTTCACAGATGGTGCCCAATTGACCTGACTATACTGTGAAGTTGACAAAATTGAAAACAAAATATAACATGAATGCCCCAGCCGATCCTAAGTTGAACCTGGTCAACAGTGACCAGATAATATGACCTTTGCCACATGCAAGGGTCATATTGGTCCTCAGGGTCATCAGATGAAGAATTGATTTCAGGGCCAATCCCACTTTCGTCAATACTCTTGCTGATCAACAGGTTATTGGTTGCTGTCTACCCCAGTCCATACTTTGCTCCATCCACTTTGTGTTTCTTGATCACAGGGCAGTGAAGATCGAGTATCATTAGTAATTGTAGAGCTGGTTTGAACCATGGCAAATCTGTGTTATGAAGGGAAAAAAAGGAATGTTCTTGCAGGCAAAATAAAAATGAAAGATTCTTCAGGTTAATTTTTGATTTGGTTTATGTTGTATTACAAAATTAACCCTTCCCACTAAAATATCAATTGTGACACTTTGCCTATTGGTGTTAATTATTGGAAAAGGGATTCTCTTGGCAGCAAGTCATGTGGATTTCAGTAACACTTTTGTCTGCTCTTTGCTGCTTGTCTCTCATCTCTCCCTGGGTCACCTAAGTGCTCTGCTTATATAAACTTTGACCCAAGACTGGAGTAGGGTTGACAGTATTTGGGGATCTGGTGATTCCCCAGGTTTCTGTATCAATTTCAACAAGAATTCTTTGTTGTCTGGTTTGCAATATTATCTTTCTAAATTTGGGAGAACCATTTACCCTACAGGTGGTGGTTGCAGTTATCTCCTCATCCTTATAACTCATTCTTTCTCTTATTTATTCCTCACACCATTACCTCCAAATAGGCAGAGGTAATTTCTCCTTCTTCCTCCTCTCTTAGTATTTCATCTCAACCTGCTGATTTGACTGTCTCTTTGAAAAATTTGACTTTTAAACCAAGCAGGTGAAAGGGAGGTTCTTACTTTAATCATTAATTGTAATTATCATAATTTTCAACAATGACTTTTCTCAGTAACCTGGATTTGTTTATTTAAGTAGACATTTACCAGCTGTTACGCTGACCCACTATTAGCAAAACTTGTCTTCATATCTTTTCACTTAATCATATTCATGAACCTTATAAGGCCATTTCTTATTTCAATTTTGAGCAAAGGATAAAATCCTATTTCTTGAATTGTTTACATTTCCCAAATCAGTGAAGCTATTTCTGCTCTTTGACAGGCAGGCATTAACCAGTTTCTTGATTAAGCCTTCATTTTCAAAATTACCAAATATTATAACTCAATTGACCCCTTCTTCTGTCTGGTAATCATGAGATGTTTTCATAACTTACACTTTAATTAAGCAGACATAACTCAATTTTTCAATTTCTGCTTTTGTTTCCAAAATTCTCAATTAACCTTGAATGTACTTTCACTATTTCTCCTCGGACCTTGTGGGTAGAAGCTTTCTACATGGCCACTGATAATATCTTTCCCAATACCAATAAAATCATTCTTTTCAGGTCTGTCTCTTCTTCAAGCTAGATTTTTGACAAGAAACCATTTTGCACCTTCTTTCAATTTATATGTTATTCTGTACTTTTAACCCTCTCTGTCTGTTCCAGTTCATATTTTATATTAAACCTTTTCCTTTACCAGTGTCACATGGTGTCAGAAAACAACATGCATGCACAAAATTAAAAATATACAATGGCAACAATTTATCCATTGCACCCTGTACAAAGAAATCTAAGTCTTTATAAAATAAAATCTACAAACCTTCCTTTTCTTTGGTCCTCGTAAGTTCGCACACTGCAAAACAAGGAATAAAAACATTAATCACAACAAAAACAGAACAAGAAGGAATTTTATTTTTTTAGCAGTCAAATCCTTTCAGTAAACGATCATAACTCTCTACAGCATCCTTCTTTAATATGTATAAACTATAAATTACCATAATTATTGTTGGGAAAGTTAGTTGCCTTCTCCACAGATTTTGATTTCAGAGATTTTCTTTCTCATAAACCGGTTTTCAACCAATACTAGTGTGTCCTGTCTGCTGTTATTTTATCCATAGCCAGAGCAAGAAGACACAGATTCATGCCTTTTCTAAGAATATTACTACAAAATTAACACAAATTTTTTCAGTTGAAAATTGAAGTCTCTGATTCTATTTTCTGTATTAACAGTTAATGCATTGTAGATGGCTATATTTAAAGAAATACCACCATTAAAATAATCTCTACATTGTGCATCATATAATCATGGGGCAATGGTTTGCATTAAAACTTTGAAACAATCACGTAAATCAATTATATTATACCTTAATTTTTATGCAAGAGCTAATCTGGTTTGTCAAGAATTTTCGAAGGAGGCATATGAAGGTATATAATCTTACTTGGTATAATTTTAAAATAGATCAACAAATGATAGACGCTAAAAAATTAGTGACTGTCTACAAAATCTGGAAGTCAGATAAGAAAAGTAGTTTTTTGCATATACATTAGATTCAAACAGCAAAGTGTTAATCAAAACTGAAAGTAAAACAAAAATATTTCCCATTTGGCTGAAAACCATTTTAGGAAAGCCTTTCTCAAATCTGAGTTCTTGAATTCAGTGATCTCAGCTAGAGTCATCAGTACTCAGACTATCATTAGTGACAATTGTATTTGAGATGAAGTGATTTCTTATGGCCATGTACACTTTCCTGACCTTTAGCTCAGGTAAATAGTACTCAGACTACTAGTAGTGACATTGGCTCCTATGAACCAAGTACATTTCTGTGACTATATATTCTCTCCTTACTCTCATCTAAGGATAACCAATTTTTATGACTATATTCATAAGAATGTGCTGATAGTGTGATTCTTGATAATGACTGAGATGGTCAAAAGCACTTGATTAAAAACAAATGAACAAACATGGACTTCAAACAGTTTATCCATAATTTTGATCCTAAGTCTTATACATAAATTATAAAATACAATTAAAAAAATTGAACAGACAGACAGACTTTGTCAGTTTAGTTTAATAAAGCTTGTTTGTATGCATTCTTGCTGCTTAAATATATTTGTAATATATATACATTATATTTATAATTGTAGGTTATTGAAAGTTAATCTGACCAATAGAGAAGTTTACGAATTCTTATCTAACTTAATGAATTGTCAGCTTGTTGAAAGTTTTTAATCATTTTAATAATAAATTTATGCATTGTTAATTAACCAAATTTCGTTAATCTATTTTATCTAATTTAATATAGTTATACCTTCAGTGGTGAAGTCTTGTTCTTGAGTTTTATTCATTTTTCTTTTATAATCATTTTAATTTTAATACAGTTAAAATTTAATAATTTGCATTGAAAAGATTTCAATAAATTAAAATAAATTCTCTTAATTTTTATCTCTTTTACTGAAAAAAAAAATTAATAAGTAAAAATTTTAATGAGAATAGTATTGAAAAGTTTTTCCAAAATTTTTGCAATGAGTATTTTATGTCATCTGAAATATGATTTATTTGCCAAAAGCCATAAAAATTTTGTGTGTGTGTGTGTGTGTGTGTGTGTGTGTGTGTGTGTGTGTTTAGTACTAAATCATATATATTGGTATAACTTATTTATTTTTTAAAACAGAATTGATTCATCACTGGATGAATATAATAATATTCTTATTACTATGTTTTTTAAGGTTTTTCTCTTTTATTATATTGTTTTATTCATTTTTCTGAACTCTTATAATATATATATATATTTTATATTTTATATATATGTATATATATATATTTGTAGTTGAAAAAAGAGAAAGAAAAAAAAGAGGGAATTTTTTACTTATCCAGAGAAAAGAATAGAAAAGTATTTGAAACAGAATGAAATTTGTAAAATATGTATTTTATTTTATAAATAACAAAAAAACGTTAAGAATAGAAAATAGGTCATTTTAACAAAGTACTAAGGGAAAAGAAAAGGAAAAAATAAATGTAAACCTTTTTTCTTTTATAAGTAAATTTGAAGATTTTGTTAAATCCTTCATCCAATAAAATATTTGACTACTTAGAAAAAAAAAATTAATAAGTTTTAAAAATTTTAATGAGAACATTAGTAAATGAAAAAAGATAACAGAATTTTTTTCCAAAATTTTTGTTAAGATAAATTTAAAAATCCTGGAAAATAGGCCGATTACAGACAAGGATTTTACATCAAAGAAAGCAAAATTCTTTAAGTAAATTTTATTAGTCGCCAATGCTTATTGCAAAATCATTAGTTCATTTTTTTTTTTCATTTAAAAGCTGGTGAAATTGTGTGAAGAAGTGTCCGTGTGTGTGTGTGTGTTTGATTCCAAATCAGTTACGAAGAGCTGAGTGTCACTTTTAAAATTAAACTCATCTATTGTGTTTTCGTTCTTATTTTATCTTGTGCCCCCAGCTTGAGACTTCATTTTTAACCAACCCCGCAACATCATTCATCTCTTCAGAATCCACGGAAAATGCTAAAGTTTGATTCCATTACTTAAAAAACGGAAAAGGAAATTGAAGGAAGAAGCTCTTACGTCTGAAGAATCACCTATGAAAGACAGAAGAATAGATTTTTGATCGTCAAATAATTGCTTGGTATAAGCTTTAAAAAAAAAAAAAAAAAAAAAAAGAAGGAAAGAAAAAAACAAAGAAAGAAAAGGGAACCCATAATCAACAAGCACATTCATATTCCCTTACTCCCCAATTTTGTCTGTTCAAATTACCAAACATATTCTTGGTATTGGTTTTGATTTTTTTTTTTCTTCTTTGCCATGTGTTTTGTAATATTTAGCATGGATAGGATTCATGTTATTTATTAGATTGTATTTAAAGGTAGATCTGTAACTTGGAGAAACCATTAGAATACTCTTAGTTAATGGCCACCACCTTCAGATGGATAGCCCAGAACATTAGGGTATTTAGAGGATCATCCTGAATGTAGATGAACTTTTGAAACAGCTAACTCAAATATGGTGATTGTATATGCATATATGCCCCATATAATTAAAAAGATAAGAAGGATAAACCTATATATATATACATATATATATAAGATACTGTTGAAGTTCAAGAATGGGGCGAAGTAAAAAAGATGCAGCTTTTTTACTTAAAACTCGTTCGTGAGAGAAAGAATAAGTACCCAAATCACTCTGACGAGGCATTCAATGCACCGGAGCCTCAGGCTTAACTTGGCGCTGAACATATGTCAGATTAAATACAGGAGCTGGACAGAGCTGCCCACCTGAAAATGCAACTGTTGAATTTCTTACGATAAAAGAAACCGAGACAATGTATAAAAAAAGGGTGGTCAGTTAAGCAGAAATGGTACCATTTCTTATTATGTTCTGAGATTAAAAGATTGCATTAAACCAAAAAAAAATAGGACAACTATTTTGGACGGACGAGAAATTATACTGCTCCCTCCTATGAAACTGACCAGAGGCAAATGAATCCAACCTTCAAAGTTACAAACTGGAGCAAAGAAGAAGTGGTTTCATTTGTTGTACTGTTTGAGCAGAAATGATGAAAACAACCAACTGATGAATTGGAAAGGGGCTTGCATTCTTGAGCACAGACTAAACACACATAAAGGAAAAAAAAAAACACACACAAATGAAAATCAGCATATATATATATATATATATATATATATATACACACACACACACACAAAAAATTATAGCTTTGATTAAAAGACATGTAATTTTCCCCTGGCAGGCAATGTTCTACTGCAGAAATCAAGTAAAATGGCAAAGTTTTGTGGAAGCAGTAACATGTTCACTTTTCAAGGGTTACTCCATATATTAAATATTTCCAATTGTAAATGAATATCTGTTTTTTTAATTTCAGGTTAAATTTTTGGTGGATATTTATGTCTTTATATATATATATATATATATATATATATATATATATATAAAACTGCATAAATTGTTTTTGCCAAGCAATATATAGGTAACTGTTAATGTTTTTTTCATTTATTCTACGTAGAAATAACCTGAATAGGTCAAATCAGGGAATTTTTCACATTATATGACCAATTTTCTTGCTAAAATGATATTAGAAACGTAGATGCTAGATTGGAATAACTTAATAAAGAGAGAGAAAGGATCAGATTTTCTCACATTAAAAATATATTGTTTTCATCTGACTTACCTTTCCTCTCCGCCTTCCAGTCAATCCTTCACACTGCAATACAAAAGAATAATAGTATATAAATAGCTAGATGAATATTTATTACTTAGATTAGAGAAAAGAAAATCATTAGAAATCGATCCTTAAAAGCAGATTTTCAGAGTCCATCAGCTGAAAAACAAGTGACCAAAAAAACAAACAGATGGGGAGTAAAGAAACTTGCTTGAAAAATACTCTGAATCAGTAATTCAATATTTGATTCATATGCTGATAAATGAGAAAAAGGAACATCCCACTTTTTCATTAAGATGATTCTAAGAACACTTTCCAACAAATATGAATAAGTGGGAATTCAGAAGTAAAAAAATCAAAATATCTATCAATACTTTAAAAAAAATAAAAAAATACATAGAGTATTTTCAGTAATACTATTGGATTTGGAATGAAAACTTGTAGCATTTTTCAATAGATGATGTTTGAACACATTTTGTTACATCCATGATATATATATATATATATATATATATTTTAATATATATATATATATATAAATAAATATTTTTCTTTTATATACATACATATATATATATATATAGTGATGGGACAATACCAATATTTTTACTGATTCCAATACAATTCCCAATACTGTTCTAAATTTCTGATTCCCATACCTACAATGATTAAAATTCATTATTTTCAAGGCCCTACTGTTGGTTTGGGAAACTTAATGAACAAAGTAGATTTATTAATAATACATTTAGTAGAAAAATTAATACAAAAGCTTATGAAATAAAATTAGATATCCTTTTTATTTAAAAAATTGGGTAAGAGTTTAAAAAATAAAGAGAATTTCTTGACATAAATCACTAAGTACTTAGCTACAGTTGACATATTGCTTTACTTTGGTTATCACCAGAAATCTTAAAAAACTTCAAAATTATCCTATTACAAAGAGTAACTAATCCTGCAGGATAGTGAATAAAAAATAAATGCAAATTTTAAATTTGCTTACAGATGTTTAATAAGAATTAAATATGAATTATCACAGCAACTTAATAAATAAATAATAAAGGGTCTTCAATATTAATCTCAAAATTGATTTTTTTTTCAGTTATTTATTAGATTATTAGAAGAAATTGTATTTTAAAAATATTAAAACAAAACATGTTAAAAGGGGAAAGAACTATAACTTAATCATGCCAGATAAAAATGGGATAAAAATGATCATTTTAATTTTTTTCTTTATATACTTCTACTTATAAAACTTGCATCTCATTTGGCTCCAAAAGGAATAAATGATAAAAAAAATTTAAACTTTTAAAAAAAAAGCATTTTTTTCAAGAAACTTCAAATAAAAGTTTGTGTATTTTTTTATTTAAAAAAAAATGAAAATCCATTTTGAAAAAATAAAATTTTTTGGTAAAAAAACATGAATTTTGTACAAAACAAATTTAAGTTTTAAAAAATTAAATTTGTTATTGGAAAGAAGATGTATTTTTCTATAAAAATCTTATTATAAGAACAAATTGTTGTAATTTAAATGCCTCACTTTGAGGACAATCTGTGTTACAAGATCAATTTTTTTTATGTGAAGAAATAAAATGGCATCATTTGGCAATCATTGGCATGAATTCCATGCAATCCATTTTTCTTTTTTATAAATTAAAAAAAAAAATTGTCTTAAAAGGGAGCCCAGCAGAGCAAAAACGTGAATTCATTTTGTGTTTATATTACATAATTTTGATTATAATTATTAAATTAATAATAATTTATAATATTAAATGGGTGAATTAGCAATGTTTAAAAAGAAATTAAAAATTTTATTTTGAACTGAAACAGACTTTAAACTAGCATACTTTATGGAAAGTTCAAGAACTGAGTAGAAACCTCTACTTTCTTTTTAAAAAAAAACACACAAAAATAAATTTACATCATACCTAACTTAGGTGTTATTTTGATCTGTAGATTTTAGTTTTATTGATAGTTTAAAATCAATAAATATTTATATCTTTTTATCATTAGTACCAGGAATGGAAAATTAAGTTTTAAGCAAAACTATTATTATTATAAAATTATTTCTTAAACACTAATATTCCATGGTCATAATTTATTCCATTAGAATCGTAAATACGATCCAATTCATCAGACCTACAAATTCAAAAAGAAAACAGAAAAAACAACTCCGGAAATAAAAGTAGAATTTAGAGAGAGTGTAAGTATGAGAGTGTAGGACGAATGTTAGAGCTAAAGAGAGGAGTAACAGATGAGAGAAGGTGGGAGATTAAACTTTAACAGAGAGAAATTTTATAAAGGTGAGTGGAAGAGGTTTAAGTGAGAGAAATATGAATGTTGTCGGATGTCTAATACATTAAAGATACATTGGGCACCTCGAGGTGGTGTAATGGTTAGCAAGCTTGTCTCGCTAGAACAATTATGACTGAGTAGTGAGTTCGATCCTCACTGGGTGCCCCATACTTTCGGCCTTGTGCCACATCTAAGCTACACTTAGAAAATCACTACATTAAAGATACATTTCGTGGTGACATACACACACCATAGACGATCTAATGTTAAAGATCAGAATAAGAGGGGAGGAGAAAAAGAAAAGAAAAAGGGTGGGGAGAGAGATGATGATGGGGGAAAAACTAAAACTGAAGGGCATTTACTGAAAGGGCCACTGTGTAATTAAGAAAATTTGAAAAAATTAATATCAACTACAGGTTACAAATCAAATATAAACATATAAAAAATAAATATAACGATTATCTAATCTAGCAAGGACCTATATTTTTATGTTCAAAACCACATGTGAATACCATATACACGTACATACACACACATATATATACATATAAATTAAAATGTAAAATCTAAAAAAGTAAAATTTCAAAAAATTGGTCTAAAAAAAAATTTAAATACATAGTGCATCACATAAACCTACACAATGATATATATAGAGATAAACATAATAAACATAATAGTCACTCCATTAAAATGTCATGCCCGATGTTATTGAACCAAGATGGAATTGGCACAAGTGACATGTTACAAAACGGTGTTTATGTTTTGAATCGTTTTTTATGTCTACATTTAGAAAATATCTCATTACAAAGATTCAGCAGTTCATCTTGATTCTTATCTTTGATAATAAAAATTTTTTCCACCATGCACAGATCACACCAATTGCGGAAGTTATTAGGTGTTCTAGCTCTTGATAAGTATCTCCATTTCAAAAGTGGGGTTAGTCCCTTATCCACCAGATCCCAGTAGTGTTTGGATAAGGAAGTTTGATTTCTGAGGCATCTATATCTAAATAAGCATTTATCGTTGTATAGACGCTGCTTCCAATCACCGGCAGATATACCTATATATCTTTTTTTCTGGTTTATATTTTCCTCGAAAGATTGTTGCCTCATATACTACATTTTCATAATTACATTTACCCCGATTGGACAATGGTCTTTATTCCTATAATTGCAGGTAGGGTTACTAGATTGAGTTTCATTACTATGGTAGTTTCTAAGTATTCTACAATTATGGGAAGATATGATTTTCCATATTTCTAACACATGAGTAACTAATTTTTCAGTGTCTTCCTATTGAAAAATTTTATGTAATGGATGTTTACTATGAAAATGTTTATCAATTAATTTCAGAAAGAAACTTCCTATATCAATGTTAGAGAGCCTGCAATATGGTGGGTTGAACCATATTACCTTCCTTTTTCTGTTTTTAGTTCTGTTATTATTCTGATTTAAAGTTCTCCTTTAAAATTTAATTCTTGTCTAAAACCACTATTTTTGAGGGCCTGATTGTATATAAATTTATTATCATTAAAGATTTTTTGGCTAGAAGATAACCTATTTATTCTTGTATTCACAGTTTTGGGGATGTGATCTATCACATGTTTAGGGTGGTTAGAGTGGATGTTGATGTATAGGGGTGTTTGATCAACTTTATGGAAGGGTTTAAATTCGATAGATTGAGTGTAATATCCAAAAAGTTGACTATTTTCAGGTTGGAAGATATTTCAATTTTAAGGCCTAGGTATATGAATAACAAAATATTACATACCGGATTGTCTCCAGGAGAATCACCTCCAGGAGAATCATCTCCATGAGGGTGACGTCTGTCATCTCTACCTCTATTATGACGTCTTTCACACTGAAAAGAAAAAAATAGACTTTAATGATATGTATAGGTAAGGATGAGAATAGGATTTTAATTTTTTTTTCAGCATTTTATGTTCTCACATGAAATAGGAGTTCATACTTAGCAAAAACCTAGTTTTCTATGTAAAAAGTTTAGAAATTAATGTCAGATAATTGCCATAAACAAATTATTTCAAAATTGTCTTTTCTTTCAGGGTTCCCACAGATCTGTGTAAAAAAATTCCAGGACTATGTTAAGAAGTTTCAATGGCTGAAACAAGCAAACAAACAAACTAACACACACACACACACACACACACACACACAGTGAATAGTCATCAATTTCAAAAAACACAAACTTTAGGATTTATCTTTTAATAGTTTAACAGATGTTTAAAGAAAAGCTACAGTTGGTTCCAATAATTCATGTCACATGGGTCAGTTGAAAGCAGTGAAGAAATCCAAGTGTTGAAGGTTAAAACACAACTGAATGCAGAGCTTGGTTATGTTACACATTTTGTGTAGCAGTCTACAGTTTGGAGTTCTACTACACTTGACAATTCTGAATTGCACACTTTAATTCTTAATGCAACACAATTCAACTATCTCAACTACTCATGGTTTGTGAATGTTACAAAAATTCTTGACTGCTGCACATTTCCTGTGAAGTTAAGTATAATGGTTTTAATGAACAGTACTACAAATAGAAATTTTCACAAAAAGACTACACATGGCACAAAGCACAATGATGTTAACATTTTTTTCAGTTCATCTGGTGGTTTAGCATTCAGCTCCTCTACCAATTTTGATATCTCTATTGATTTGTCCTCTACAGGTCTTCACATGGCATTGCACTTTGCAATAAATGTGAAGTTCTGAGTCTGCTCAGTTTTTTTTTTTGCATAGCTGTCGGCTGACTTGAGCAATCTTGCGTGCAACTTTCAAGCTTGTGTTCTTTGGTTTTCAGTTCTTCAATTTCCATAAGCATGGATTTCTGTTTTTGTTCAGCTGCTTCTTCCTGCCATTTTTTTTTTTTTTTACTCTGAGCCTTAAGGTATTGGCTGTATGCTGTTCTGGCATTGAAAGCACTGCAGAGAAGAGTCTTAGTCATGGGAACATTCCCAGCACCTCCAACTGTGGCCAAAGTCTTCAAATATGCACTGTGCGACCAGGGTTTGTTGTTTCATATTGTCAGTAGAAATTTCCTTATTGACTGGGAAACCTCTTTCCACTGAGGCCTGTTGAGTACCAGCAATCTGAACAGCTTTCTAGTTTTTGATATTATTTGTTGCTAGACAAAGAAGAGTAGAATAAAATGTCCAGAGTCTTCATACTTGATAAAATTCTTGAAAGCAATATTTCCAGCACCCTCCTCCTCAAACTCTTTGTACTGACTGTTGCTGTCATCACAGTCAAACTTGTTTTTTGTCCACTATGTGAGAAAGACATCTCTTTAGTCTGTCTTCTTTGGCAATTTCTTTTTGCAAATGGATCTAGGGTTCAGCCATGCAACTGACCTTACAAGAGGACATCTAAGGTGAGATTTTGCCAAAAGTTTCTCAATGATGGTGATGAACATTGTCTTTGTTGCAATTCTGCATGCAAACAGATCTTTTGTTGACACATTTCCTTTTTTGGATAAATTTTGCATAGCCCTATCTACCAGAAATCTGCACTCAATATTTTCAGAATCCTTGTACATGTTTGGGTTTGACAAAACGCTTATGAATTCATTCATTTTGGAAAATTATCTTTTGCTCTTCCTTTGCAAATCTTAACAGTTTCATGATCATGCTAAAAATATCATCCGCAAGGAAAGGAAGCAATAGTTTATCGATATAAACTGATATTTTATCAGAAATGGATCAGTGTCTTTCGAAACAGACACAAAAATCTGCAGTTTCATTGGAAATAAAACATCATTCACATTTGACAGCACTGCAGAGGACTTGGTCTGAGGACATTTTTCTGTTTGTTTAATTAAATTCACAAATTTGATGACACCTAGCCAAATGTCTAGTTGTTCACATGTTTGTACATTTTCCAGCCATCTATGGCAGAAATACAAAAGTAAAAAAAGAACAGAGTTGCCAGATTGAACTTTTAATATAAAGCCAAGCAATAAAATAGGAACCTCCACTAATTTGCAATACCTAAGATTTAAAACAAATTTTTATAAATGAAAAGCTTTCTTGAAGCTTTCATTGAAAGCTAAAGCATTAAATTTACTATTTACAGTAAGCAAAATACTATGGTGTATTTCAAACATAAATTATATTGAGTGGAATCAATTTTTTGTTTTTTCTAAAATAGCTGATTAGCACCCTTTTTAGTAGTCTTTCATCGCAATGTAATTCTCTGTATTAAAAAATCATCTAAAATAAAATATACTTTTCTGAAACTTTATTTGAGGAATATTAGCTGAATTAAAGTATAATTTGAAAAAAATATTATTTAATTTAACTTTAAAATAACACCAAAATGCCTTTTTAAAACAAGCAGCAGTCATGTTTTTAACTGACATCGCCATCTTTTACATAACTGCCAAGGTGGTGACAGATTGTTCTACGGAGACTTTATCTGTAAAACATAATTTAAGAAAATGATGTGAGTGCCTTTTTTTTTATAATTTTTAAGTACTCAATAATCTTAAAAATTTTGGAAAATATTTCCATAATCTAATTTTAGGAATATTGACTTTAAATTTAATATAGTTATTGCTCTTATTTTCTGATAATGTCATGTATGGTCAACCACGCTTTCAAAAATGGGTATGTTACATAAGGTTTTATGTACATGAAAAAAATTAAAAATTATTTTAAAAATCTGGGTGCAAAATGATTTGTATTAAGCTTTTATATTTTTTGATTAGTAAATATAGTTTTCACTTAATAACAATATCACTCAATGAGATTAGACTAATGTAAACTAATCTGATTCTAAGCTGCTATCCATTACTCCACAAGGCACGGTGAAATAATAGATAGCGGCTCAGATTGAGGAATTGGAGAGCCAAGTTTGAATTCCTGTTGAATCCATTACATTAACTTACATGCTAATACCCTTGGAAAAGGTATGAATCCTCTTCTTCCCCCCCCTCCAGATATGGGTAAATAGCAGGACAGACCACATTCTATAGCCTTGGATGGCAACTGGTCTACTGCAGAAAGAAATGGCAACCTACTGTGGGAAAAAAAATCTGCCTCGTCAGATACATAATCACCTAAACATATATCTCGCATGGCACAAGTAGTGCTTCATATTTTTATGCTCAATATTTTTTAACTTAAATATCTAACTTACCTTTCTTCTTCGTCTTCCAATTAGTCCATGACACTGCAATACAAAAGAAAAATAATATGTAAATTGCCATATGAATATTTATTACTTAGATCAGAGAAGAGAAAAAAATTAGAGCCCATCAGCTGAAAACAAGTGATCAAAACAACAAAGATAGGGATACTACTCTGAATGAGTAATTCAATATTTGATCCATGTGCTGACAAATGAGAAAAAGGAACATCCTACTTTATCATTAAGATGATTCTAAGAACACTTTTCAACAGACATGAATTAGTAGGAATTCAGTGTTAAAAATCAAAATATTTACATAAAACTATTTTCAGTAATATTATTTTATTACTAGTTTTATTCCAGCTTATTGTTGCTTTTTATCCTAAAAATATGGATCTATACATTTTTCATTACTACTAGTTTTAGTTTTGTTTTTTTATCACAACACTTATTCAATACTTTTTATGATGACTATTATTTTATTATTTGCCATAAATTTTTGTAGTAAATTTACAGTTATTTTCTACAGAAAAGAATATAAATTGCATTTTGATAGAAAAATGTGTTTTTAATGCAAATTAAAAACAATGAATTTCTACAAGTCATCTGTGATACACTTCTGTAGAAAAAAGTATCAAACAAGTGCTATAAATAAATATTGAACAAAAAGTTAATGATTTTCATTTCATAGAAAATGAAAGAACAAAATGGTAAATAAAAATATATACACACACAAAGAAACAGACACAAACAAAATCTTTAAGGGATTTTAATTATACAAATGTGTTACTTATTCATTTCAAAAAGGCAAAAAATACAATTATTTTAATAGTTAATATTTTTCTTACTTTAACAATTGAGGATTTTATTAAAAATTAATTTTATGGAATAACAAATATTTTTTATAATATTATATGTACTTTATAAATTTATATTTAAGATTTAATCATAAAATTTAATTTAAAAGCATGAGATTTAATTAAAATGTTATTATTTATGAAATACAAAAGATTACATACAGGGTTACTGCCAGGATTTTCATGTCTATTACGATCCCTTTCACACTGAAAAAAAATAATATTAATTATATGTAAAAACTTGGATGAGAATATTATTGAAAAAAAAATTTTGACAACAGAATATTATGTACTTGTCTGAAATGTTAGTACATGTATTGTAAGTATCTCCAATTATTATGGCAGGAAATTTTAAACATGTATAAAGTTTAATTTTATGGTCATTTTTTGGTACTAATCAAAAACTGAAAAAATGGAAAAAATTCTAATATAAATATTATTTCTAGATTGTAAGCAGAATCAGAAATATTTGTGTTTAAAAATGCTGTTTACTTTGACTAAACATTGTCACTATAAAAATATTGCACTTTTTGGAGTTGTAAAAACACTGATATTAAAAATCCTCCTAAATTCATTCAATTATTGGATTTTAATGAAATACTTTGCATTTATTGATACAGAGTATATATATATATATATATATAATAAAAAGCTTAAACACTAATATGCCATGGTCATAATTTATTCCATTGGAATCGTAAATATGATCCAATTCATCAGACCTACAAATTCAAAAAGAAAACAGAAGAAACAACTCCGGAAATAAAAATAGAATTTAGAGAGAGTGGGTAAGTGTGAGTGTGTGGGACGAATGTTAGAGCTAAAGAGAGGGGAAACAGACGAGAGAAAGGTGGAAGATTAAAACTTAACAGAGAGAAATTTTAGGGAGGTGAGTGGAAGAGCTTTAAGTGAGAAAAACATCAATGTTGTCAGATGTCCAATACATTAAAGATACATTTCGTGGTGACATACACACACCACAGACAATCTGATGTTAAAGATCAGAATAAGAGGGAGGGAGAGGAAAAGAAAAGAAGGGGTGGGGGAGAGAGATGGGGCGATGGGAAACTAAAACTGAAGGGCATTTACTGAAAGGGCCGCTGTGTAATTAAGAAAGTTTGACAAAATTAATATCGACTATAGGTTACAAATCAAAAGTAAACATGAAAAATAAATATAATGATTATCTAATCTAGCAAGGACCTATATTTTTATGTTCAAAAACTCATGCGAATACACACATACATAATAACATATACACGTACATACATAAGCGTGTACCCACATACATATACCCATGTACACACATATACACATATATCCACATATACACACATATACACACAGCACATACATACATATATATATATATATATATATATATATATATACACAGACAGACATTTAAAGCTGTCTTTTTTATTTTTTAGCAACTACACATCAAGGTGGATCGATATAAACTGGTTTTTAAAGATAAGTCCTTAAAAAAATCAATACTGAAAAGTTGAAAAATCAGAACCCAGAAAAAATCAATATGGAGGCCTTAGTATGAAACACATGAAATAAAAATAAAATATGGCCTCTTTGAATATTTTTTATTTTTTCCATTAATATTCATATGTGCACCACTGTAGGATTTTGTTTTTAAAAAAATTTTATGTCCTTTAATAAATAAATAAATATACAAATATATTAAGAAAATATTGTCTCCAATTATTCTTAATATAATTTCAAAAAATATTACAAGGCCGTTGTTTGGATATTATTAACTATTGGTATGCAAACTCACAATCATTTCTGCTTTTCAGTTGTCATCATTCTCACACAAGCTGCATCGTAGCTAAGACACACTGAAAGATATTTTTTTCCCCATTTTAATTTAGTATAAGTTAACATAACTTATTACCAACATTATAGCTCCAATCACAATAGACACACTGCTTGTAATAAGTGCAAACAGGCCCTCAAGAGGCTAAGTCATTGATAACTGATAGAGTGAGGCAGTGTAACAAGTTTAGTTCTCATGATTACTAGTGGTTCTGCAAGAGCGTGTTATTAACACATTCTTGCAGAGCCACTATGGTAAGTCTTCAATTCCTCCTCTCTTCAATCAATTGGAAGTGTTATCATGTTATAAAACAGAATGCTTTGCCCACAAATTCTCTTCCAATTCTACTCTCAACTCATCAGGAGTTCATTTCCCACTTAGAATTGAATCTCTACTGTGTAACATGCAAATATCTCCATCCATGGCTTCTGCTATCATCTTCCAACTTGACACTCCCCCCCAACAAAGCATACAGACCTGATGGCATCATTGTAATTGTTGAGGGGTTCTCCCTTTTTACACAAATGGACTCACCCAGTATATACATATACTACGGCTACATGAAGACCCAAGAGAGCAAGACTGAAGAGTCGAGTCCAGAGTGACAGAGTAAAAGCTTGTAGGTAACCGGAAGAGTGAGGGTGAGGTAACGGCGTTGTAAGAATCATATGAGCAAGCACGTAGACTCAGTAAGACGTCATAGAGCAATACTTCAATACCAAAGACTGTATATATATTTTACTACTAACACATATTCCTGGAACTACTAACACGCTTTACCAGTTTGTATTATTACATTAATACATTATTTTCATATATTCATTCCTGGCATTTGTTATTTATTGGTACCGGATTTCAACCCGGAATCCACAACAGTAATTGTCCTTAAGAAATATGTCTCAGAAATGGTCCCTGTCCTCCCCAAGTTCTATAATAGATGATTTGCTGCTTTTTGCCTTCTGGATTGTTAGAAATTCTCTTCTGAAAAGAAAATAGTTTGCTTCCTAAATTTTTCAGTTAAAATTTTACTTATTTAAATATAATAATCATTTTCACTAAAAGTATTTATTACTTGAGATCAAAAAATAGTAAAAGTATTTGAGTTTTTCTTATATTCTTTATAATCAAAATTTTATGTGACAGAATGTTTTCCAGAATTAACTTTAAAAAAAAAATATTGATTTTTATTACAAATTACTGTACTTACAAATGGAAGCAATTCAGTCTAGAGCTGTCATCAGAAATTTGCATTGCAGTTGGTCAGATGGTAATATAAATATCACCTCACCTGACCCTTGACTTGTACTGACTGAATAGAAGTCACTCATGTTAAATACATTTTAAAATTTGGGATTTGTTTTTATAGTTAAATCAAGTAAAGATTATAGTATCTATTTTACATAAAATTACCTTGATGCTATGGTTTTTCATTTTTAATAGATTTTTATTTTTATTTGTTTACAGTATTGATTTTTTTGTTCATCAGATAATGACCATTATGATTTTTACAGATTCAAGGGAAAGTTTTGATTTTATAGCTACTATTCAACCTTAATTAAAAGGTGCTATTGTTCTTTGCAATACCCAAATTTGTACTCATATATTTGTTGTGAAAGTTAAAAAAACCATAAGAATTTACTTTTTAAATTTTTACTTCATATTTTTCAACAAAACATAAGATTTTTCTTGGAGATACCTAATATATTGCAAAAACTGAGAGTTCATTTTATTTTCATGTTTGATTCAATCCTATAGCTTTCAAGTATAAGTTTACCTACTTGGTCTCTCCTGTTGACCCCAGTTAATGATACATTTATGTAACTCAAATAAACACAAAGTTTTCTTAATTTTACAATATGCTAATGACAATATCTACTCTATCACAAATTGGTACCCCTGATAAAGCATCTAATACCAAATGTATAATGTATAATTTTTATAAGTGATGAATAAGGTGTTTTATATTTTTATTAACTTAAATATCTGACTTACCATTCCTCTTTCTCTTCCAGTCAGTTCAGCACACTGAAATACAAAAGGAGAAAAAAAATTATAAAATGTTTTTTTTATTGCCAGAAGAATATTTCTAAATAGATAAAATTTAAAAGGCAGGAGAGCCCATCAGCTGAAACATGGAGATCAAAATAACAAAGATTATGATACTACTTTGAATGATTAGTTCAACATTTTATAAATTCCTTGATAGATGAGAAAAGAGAACAGCTCACCCTCTCACTGACATGATTCTGTTAGCAATTGTAAGCAGCTATAGTTACTTGTGAAGAGTGGGAATGCAGCACACACACACACACTTCTTTAAGAGATGCTTAATTATACAAATGTGTTAATTACTTACATTAAAAGGCAAAAAATAATTATTTGTAACAGTTTATATATCTTTCTTTATTAAATAAGGAGTTAAAATTACACAAGCTAAATAATGATGTTATGCAATGTTTACTACTATGAGGGAGTGCTGAAAAGTCCTTGGCCTGACACCCTTCCTAAACATGATAAAAATGAGAAAGACACGAGTCTGCTCAATTCAAAATAAGGTTCTATCAGAATTGTAAAAGTTGGAAATCTGCTGGACTACCTCAATGTAAAACAAGAAATTTAACACACACACACACACACACACACACCCCCCTTCTTAGAGATTCTTTTTTTCATTATATTAATATGTTAATTATTTTATGAAGAAAAAATGTAATTACTCATAATATGTAATTTTCTTTCTTTATCAATAATTTTATAATTAACACTGTGTCGGTTACACACCTGGCCCAGTGTCGGATCCTTTGGTTACGGCGCCAACGGTGACGTCGCTCCTCCTGGTCGCTCCTCCTGGGTCCAAGCGTGCCGCTCCAACCCCTTGGTCAGATGATCACCAGCCTCGCCTTTCCCAACTCGCTTCCAATACCTGGTCACTAAAGCAACTATACTGATCTCCGGTCTGTCTACCCACGCTGTGTTTAGATCTTAGACAGACGGGACCAGCAGGGATTTTCCTTTGGGCCGATACAAGTTGAGTCCGACGGGGTGGCAAAACACAAATAAAATAAAAAAAAAAACTCACGACACAAAAAAAATTGCTGATAAAAAGGGTAACAACCTTTTATATCTTAATGTCCGTTACATAAAAAAACAAAATTGTTCTCAATTTCCCGACCCGCTCTGTGGACTATGGCACCAAGCTTCTATCACACAATAGAAAAAATGTCGAATTACCTACTTTCTAGAATCATGTATGTATGTCGGAGTGTGGTTCAGTTCGACACTGGGGCTAATTTCTATCGATCATTCGCAGTTGATTCTTCTCTCCGACTTGAGTTGTATTTCTTCTTCTTCGTCGACTTGGGCTGGTAGTTTTCCTGTTTCAACTTGGTGGAAGATTTCTTGTTTCAACTTAGCCTGCAACTCTCTGTCGTCAGAGGTGGTCTCTTCTCGCTGCCGTCCGGGGCTGAACTTGGGCTCATCGACTTTAACTTCTCAGCAACATTTTGTTTTCGGGCTTGTCTGCATCTCCAATTCTTCTCAGGCTTTCAGGCTGGGCTTTTTACTTTTATCTTCTTCTGAACTTGGAAGTTCTCCTTTTTTCTTCGACTTGGGCTGGAAGGATTTTTTGTCTGAGGATTCTTCTGCCCGCAAAGGGGCGTGAATCGGGCCTGATGGCCGCGTTCAGGCTCTATCCCTGCCCGCGGTCCAACTTGTTCTTCAACTCCAACTGCAACTCAACTGATTTCTGTCGACTGGGGTCCTGCTTTTATTGACGCCGCAACAAACTGGGGTGGGTCTGTCGGCGTCAGGGTTTTCTCGATAATTCCAAAAAGCTGCATTAATTCTGTCTTCCCATTATCGCTTATTGTTTTCACCCCTACTTTTCCTTATAGTGCCTTTGGTGGGGAGGCATATCCATCTCTCTCGGTCTTCTCTCGTATGTCAGGTGACCGCTTTTCAACCAATGGTTCCTGATTATCGAGCATTTTTTTTCCCTTTTCTTCCGCAGATCACGATCACGACCAATTGTTAAAAGTTTCAAACATTTCTTTTCCTTTTCTTCCGCAGGTCACGTGACCGGGCTCCATGGACCAATTGTTATTGATCGAACATCCTTTTCTGAAAATTGTCATTTTTCTTGTTGCGGGCGTGGTTACATCGTTCTTGTTTTAAAAAAAACAAAATCCAATTTTGCCTTTTTTTTTTTTTTCGAAAAATGACAATCTTGGCTTTCTCTCACCTGGACTTTGTCAAACAGCCCGCTTTTAATTAGACTTGACTTCAGAAAGGATCTTTTTCGCCTTCTTGGCGCCCTCTGAGCCAAAAGCAATTGTCCCTCTTTTTTACCTCTTTGTTTTTCCTGATAGTCAAAAATCTTAATTATCTACATTGAAAATGTCTCCACTTTATTATTGTGGGGTTCCAATTTTTAACAGGTCAGAATCTTTTATATACCGTTCCACCGGTCACCCCCTCAACCCAAAAACACTTTTTCTCTTATTAAAATTGTTTTCATTGTTCCCAAAATTTCTTTTTATCCAAATTGATAAGGTGTCTTTCCATGCAAAAAAGTAGGCTAGATGCTTTGACCGATATCTTATTTCCATCAATGCCCGTTTTGATATCATGTCTTTTTTTCCCTTCTTTTATTATTATTTCTAATTCTATTCTTCCAATTGTCTTTTGGGTCATTTCAATTCAACATGCTACTAAGATATCTTTCTGACTTTTCTTTTGTTAATGACCGTTTTTTTTTCATTCTCTCTTCTCTCTTTTTTTTTTTCTTTAGTTTTTATTCCCTTAGGATCGTCTAGGTACAACAATCTTAGTGAATTATTTTCAACTCAATTATTTTCCGTTTTAAAAAAAAATTCAACAACCTGTTTAGTAAACCGAGTAAGAAAAAATTAAATCATATTTCTATGAATATTTCTAATAATGCAAGGTGCCACACACCATATTTTATAATTATCACTGTTTCATAACATCATCATAAAAATAAAAAATACTCACTGGATTTGATGTTTCTTCATACTAAATTAAAAAAAAATGATTATTAATTTTAGATGATTATAAAATAAATTCAACAAGAATTTCTTCTCTAAACAATAATGAAAATATAAGTAAGCCAATAAGTAATATTGCACATGGAAATATTATTAAATCAACAAGGCCACTGTATTCTTTATTATTTCTTTATTTACCTGTGTTTAAATAACTGCTTTGTTTAAAATGGATCAGACCAGATAAAATTGGTTAAAAAAAGGTTTCTGGTTAATGATTGAAGTATTTTAAACTTGACTATAATACATTTAAAGGACCTTACAAGTAAATGAATACATTCCACTTATAGAAGTCAATGATGAAGTACCAGACATGAAAAGTGGGGACTGTTCACTCTTGATCACTTGATCACTCCTTTTCTTGAGATGATTTTTTTTTCTTTTTTTTTTTTTTTTTTTACTCGCCAGGAAGAAAAAGTCAAGATGACTGGCAATAGGAATGTCCCTAAAGATTGAAATTTACCTTGCCACACAACTTAACTGAGGTTTTATTCAATCAAGATATTTTCATGTAACATTATATCTATCATTACAAGGGTAATAATAAGTGATCCATGCCCTTTTTTAAGACAATTTATAATACTGATGCTGATGAATGGATTTTTAAACAGTGCAATTCATTCCAAACTCTAATATCTTACCTCAAAGTAACTGAGCAATTTCCCAGAATCAAGAGATCTTTTCCAAAGAATACAGGTAAACAAACACTAGTCTAGTGTAAAATTCTGAAAACTGAAAAAACTCTGAAAACCAAATTTTTCTTTTCAATGAATGTGGTCTGCATATCAAAATTTGCATTTGGTGCTAAGCATGACACACCACAGCCCACATCTGCTGCACTTTATCAGGCCTTGTAGAGCCCAAAAGTTATTATTTTGAGATATCCTTGACTCACTTCATGTCATACAGTTGTGTTTCAGTGATTCTAAAAGACATGTTTTTGCCGCTCATGGATATTTTAATTTTTAATGATTCTTTTTTTTTTCCAAGACTACACAGCTGCAGATTACCTTATGGTTAACAATCACCTTAATCGTCTACTCTGTGATACCAAGATAACTATTCTGATATCTAAAAAAAATCCAGAAACTGTCTGATCTCAACGGTTTGGTATAAAAGATTATATACCTGCATTAATGTATGCACTACTGAATTTCTGGAAACCAAATTTATCCATTTCTACAAATTCCGTTCAGAAAGCATACAGCTATATCCAATATATGGTTAAACTAGCTTAAAAGCTGCCCTATCAGGTGGCATTTAAGCTAGCCCCTACAAAGGACTTTTGATTGGGCCTTCATCATAATAGGTAGGGAGGAGTAGTTGTGATAGGCAACAATAAACTACAGAAGAACTCAAAATTGATCACTGATCTTAAGTATTGCATTAATATTTAAGCTTACCTTTTAAAAGTTCAATGATAATTCTTCTGTCACCACTTAATTTAAAGACAATTTGGTGTACTTAGGTCCTTACTTTCTGTACAAGTAATTATTTTTATTTCATGGCTGACTTTCACTAGATTTTGCAATTAATTTTCATTATTCCCAAATTTGTTTCCAAGTTATAAAAAATGTTATCATGCAAAATAATTTGTCACAAAAAATCATGTAAAGAAAAAAAAAAAAATCAACGAAAACAATTGCAGTAATGAACACTTGGGAATCCAAATTAATTTCAGGTTTGCAGGTCCGAATCTGACCCAGAATGATTTTAATTTTCTCACAGAGTCGGCCTGATTCCAAAATGGTATGATATGTTGGGCTATAACCTCTAGGAGTAAAGTTGAAAAAGTGTGACATATAGATGGTGTTGATGTGCACATGCAACTGAAAGGACACTCTCTAGTGAGATCCCAATGATTAAGCTTGCATAACATCTGATTCTTTACATGTTATGAAAGGGTTTTTAGTAAAATATCACATCAGCCAGGCCTGGAAGCTTCTGCTAAAGTCTAGATTTGGCTCCTTGCTATTTCAAGCTTTTCCTAAAGTTATAATCCCCATTGAAAAGGAAATCTCAGACTATTGATGGAATTAAGAAGAAAGTGACATTGCAGCTGGAGTCACTCCCAATCAGGACTGTAAACTATTTGGAAAAGTAGAATAAATACTAGAAGAAATGTGTGAGGTTCCAAAGAGAGCACTTTGAAAGGGATTCAGGCACCATTTCCCTAGGTAGGCTACATTTTTTCATTAAAATGAAATGGCTTGGTCATTTTTGGACAGGCTTTGTATGAAGATAAAGTAATTAATCTATAATCTAATAGTGAAAAAAAGCAATTAATTTTCATTGTAAATATTTATTTTTCAACAAAATCTTCTCTGTAAATCCATTTAATTCAGTTGTGAATGTTATTCATATGGACTGAATAATAAACAGTGAATATTTCAGACTAAAATTCAATTAGAAAATATGTATCAGGCTGTAAATTTATTGAACCACTCTTATACAACTAGGAAGTCAAGAAAAACCAAACTGATCAAAAGGAAGTACTTACATCAGTTAAAAGTAGTCTTCTTTCACACTGAAAGGAAGCAAAAGAAAAATAGACAAAAATATTTAATTGTAGATGGAAAGGAAAAGTAATTTTGTCATATATCAGATCTGAATGAGCGATCATTTTTAAATGTGAAATAAATGAAGACATTTTTCTCAATAGCATTGTTTACTGATGAGTACAGAATCATTCTATACCAAAATGATGATCATTAAAAAGTATTATTCCATGGTTAAGATATTCCCAAATCATCAAAGTGGAAATGGCAGTGTAAAAATTATGGAGAGGAGTAACAGGAAAAATGAACCCAGTCATTGTTGATGGAATCATTACTGGCTAGCCTTACCTATAAGATATTCTTGACTCCATTATTATCCCTATTACATATACTAAAATTTAGAAAGAAGTTAAAATTAAAGAGTAGGAGTTTACTCATAATAATCCCAATATCCAAAATTTATTGTCAGTACAGCATTATTCGACATACATTATCAATACTGTTCAACAGTATCTTTTTTTCAGATGTTTATAATGGTAGTTACAAATATTGAAATTCTGGCATTTTTCAGGCATTATTCACAACTGAGCATCAAAGCTGTTGAAGCTGATTGTTGAATTTAATGAAACAATATTTGACAATATTTTTCAAAAACTGACTTTGAAGTGTTTCAAGGGTGGTGAGTTGGTCCTTGAACTCCACAATTGTTGATTATGATGCTTTAAAATGATGGGTAGAGGAGAAACCAGTTATCACCAGGCAAAAACTTTTCAGAAAAGCTACAATCTTCAAGAGATACAATATGTACAGAATTACATAAAATTAAAAAATGTACAAGACCTCTTAAGAGCTTCAAAAACAAAAATACTTTTCATAAAATATATTGCAATATAAAAATTTAGTTAACATTGGTTCAAGTATGACATTTTTTATATAAGAGAGACTTTTAAAGAGTTTAAGGAAAACTTTCAAACAGATTGAGTGTATATGTAGCCTGAGAAAGATATTCTTTGTATTAAAACTTAGGTCCTTCACTATTACTGATCCTTCACAAGCCACTAGATCCTGGAAGGGATGTCAAAAGAGTTGGCTGGGACCTGTGCCACACCTTATTTACCTAAAAAATCCACTGATACACATGTTTCTTGAAATGAACCATCATCATCCCTTGGAGATGAAGAATCACCCATCATTCACAGTTTCATTGCTATTTATGTTTTTAAAAAGATATTTTAAAAGGAAATACTTACAAGTATCCTATCTCTGCCTGTAAAACCAGCACACTGTAAAGAATTTCAAATAAAAATCTCAGGTATTTCTTAAAAATTAACCAAGCATTAAAAAGCTAAAGTAAAAAGAAATAACTGAAAAGAATTGAGGGTCTTGCAAACATTATGATATTTTTTTATTTGACAGTGTTTTTATCAACATTTTTATTATCAAAAATTTATTAAATTATTACTTGTTTTATTACTTTATTATTAATATTTGTTATTTTAAATTAAATGTCTTTTTCATTGCCAACATTTATTTTATTAAAATATTTTTTACTATAAATTAGAAGTGACTTTTTTAACATTTGTTTCGATTAAAATGTCATTTTCAAACCATCTGTACTTATGAAATCAGCATGTCAAAATGTAAGAATGTTTTGTTTTTTTTGTTTCAATTATAATTTAATTAAATATTAGTTGTCAATTTGACATTTTAATGATTTATTCTTTATTGAAAAGGTATGTTTACTTACTGGATCTTCTTCTTCATTATATTCCTAATGTTAAGAGAAAAAATAAGTACAAAAGTGAAAAGATTTAAAAGGTAAAAAAAAATTGGACTGAAAATATATAAAAAAGAACACATTAAAGGAAATGAATAAAAAATGTAAGAAAAAGTAATTAACAGTTATTTTTTTAAATCAATAAAAATGAAATTAACAATTTTAAAATATATATAAAAATTAATTTTTTTTTAAAATCATTAAAAAATGGAGAGTGACTCATTTTGCTTTCTTAGCATAACATTTTTAGCTGATATGAACTGGAAAGATTATATTGAATCAATTGCTAGGTCTGCTAAGAAAGACTGTTCACTGTTTTGTGCTAGACAATTTTTCTCTCCGGAATTTATCTTATATATCAATAAATCTACCATTTGTACAAGCTTTGTATATTGCTGCCACGTATGGTCTAGTGATCTTGCCATATATTTAGAGATTCTTGATAAGAGCCAAAGCAGAATCAGCAATATTATTGGTCCTGACCTGGTATCCCAGCATCATTTTCCCACCATCATAATATAGCTTCCCTGTGCCTTTTTTTATAATTTCATAGTAATTGTTTAGATGAACTTTTCACTATGGTACATAAAATTTATAAATTTAAGTGCAGTACTAGATTGGCAGAAAGGTCTCATCAATTTACAGTTGAATTGACTGGATGTAACTGTAAGTTCTATGTTTCTTTTCTTGCACTTGTGGAACTCTCTTCCAGCTTCTTGCTTCCTTGTCAACTTTGACCTTCAAAAATCTAAGTATATGTAACTCAATGTATTTATAAGGAATGCATTGATTACATTTATGGCAGAATTCTTGAATCAAGGTATTGTTACTATTATGCATTGTATTAGAACCAGTCAACTTCATCAAGGGAAATTTCTTAAAACTTAGAGTTTGCTTGTAGCAGTTACTTCTTCAAATGTCAGGTATGAAATCAATGTATTTCCCTACTTCAGTATCTCAATTCAGGCAAAATGAGCAATTTACTTTACATACAACATATTTTTAGGGGTAAAAAATAACAAATTTAATGATAAATAGACCACCAGAAAAATGAACTACATGAGTAGAATAACCAGAGTTAAAGTACAGACTGATACAATACTTAATAAAAGTCATTTTGACAGCACCAAATATCATTAATGCAACACTTCATGTTCAACACCGTAATATGTATTATGGTAAATGTCTAAGACAATTTGAAAAAACCTTTACTTGGACATAATCTGGTGTTATCAGGAAAAGAATTTTATTTCAAAACAACAAAATCAACATTATCAATTCATATGAAGTACTTGATTTTTACTTTCACTGTACAGAATTTTTTTTTACTTGTATCAATCCAAGCAAAGCAGTAAAGCCACTAAAACACAAGGCATTAGAGTTTGTGGAAGAATTAGGAAGAGAAACATTAATAATGAGCAGAAAGAGAAAAGAGTAATCGGGATGAAAGTAGCTTCAGATTGACTATTTTGTTTGGAGATTAAAGTTAGCTGAAAAGCATGGAACCAGAAGGGAGTTCCACAAGCGAGAAGTGCCAGAAAAGAAATTGTTAGCATAAAACTTACAGCTACATCTAGCTAGCTCAACTCTAAATTAATGAGATCTCAATGCCAGTCTAGTACTGCGCTTAAATTCATAAAGTCTAGGTACCATAGCAAAGAGCTCACCCAAAAAATTACCATGAAAGTATTTATAGAAAAGACACAAAGAGGCAACTTTATGGTAGTGGGTAAGTGACTGAAGTTGAGCCATCAGATTAGGACCAATAATATTGCTAATTCTTCTTTGAATCTTATCAAGGACCACAAGGTAAATAGCAGGAGCACCAGACCATATGTGGCAGCAATATTCTAAGCATAGACAAATGGTAGACTTATAGATATGTAAGATAGATTCTGGAGAGAAAAATTGTCTAACACAATACAGTGAAGCAACTTTCTTAGTATCTGACCTAGTAATGAATTCAATATATACTTTCCACTTCATATCAGCTGAAAATTTTAACCTGAGAAGTTAAAATGAGTTACTCTTCTGGAAATTAGCATCAGCCATGCTGATGGAAGGCAGGGAGGGTTTTCTCAGATTATTAATGGAATTTCAAAATTTTGTTTTTATGGTTTACATATCACATATTGTTTCAGTACTAATTTAATAAAAAAAAGTGATATATTGAAATGATTGAGTCATATATTAATCATAGGGGACTCACAGAACATTGTATCTTCATCTGAGTAAATTATATTCACTTTTTATTAATAGAGTTTCCCCAGGTAAAAAATTTCCAAATTGTCTTAAACATATACCATTTCATTGGAGCTTTATCCAACTCTACTCAGACACGTGTATATATATACATATATATATATATATATATATATATATATATATATATATATATATATATATATTATAATTCAAGGTTTGAATAAGCAGCTCTAAATAGAGTCTTCCCAAAATTAGCCTTCTAGCATAAAAGTGCTCCATGCCATAAAAATGACAGAGCATTTGACATGACACCAGTTTCTCTTGTTATTGAGTGTTTTTTGCTACAGTGGCAAGCCTATTGAGGTTGAATTTTTTTTTTTTTTGCATTTTAGATCTTGGCTGGATGATCTACCCTATCCACTGTGCATGTTTGGTTTGTTTATTGTTCTAATTGTACTCATCCGGTGGTATATAAGGTAATCATCTTCTTACTGCAAGTTACTGGTTATTGAATTAATATATATATATATATATATATATATATATATATACACACAAAAACACACACAATGTCAGTCAATATTTTCACAATAAAATTGGTATAAACAAACTGATGTTGAGAAAATTTTCTATATGATAAATATGTGAATTTCAGATTATAATATCTGTTTTCATTCAAAAGATTTACCATAACTTATTTGATGTGAAACCAAATATTTATTATGCAACTTGGGGGTTTCTACATATTGTAAATGTATAAGATAAGAGTCATAATTAAATTCCATTTTTGAGAAACCATTGTAATGATGAATGCATTATCCTAACTACTACAGAAATTATTATGACTGAAGCTAATGTATATTAGTATAGTTACTGATATTCATTTTCTATTTCACATGTATAAAACCCATCATGGGTTGTAAGGTGGATATAACCTCAAATGAAAAATAAAATATTGCAAAGTTATTGAATAATGGAACACAGTTTTAGAAATTGTGTTCAAGTTGAATGGAAGTCAGGGAACAATCAAGACAGAGATTGAAAATATTAGCAAGAACTAGAAAAAAACAAAACACTTTAAGAATATGACAAAAAGAGACCTGAGAAAAATAAAAAGGCTAAGAAGGAAGCAAAGTTGATTGACCAGCAAAATTATATTTGAAGAAGTTGATGTTGCAAATGTAAAAAGAAAGAAAATAAAATTAAGAACATTGGCTAAAGACATGGAAGCAATCAAATGACCACCTTTAAGTAGACATCACACAGAGAAATATGTAACTTGAGTGCTGATTTCTCAACAGTAATTTTTATTGATGAATGTAGAGCTACATTGGATGGAACTAATGTATGGATCAGAAGTTGAGTTCTTTATGAAATCTGTTAATCAATCCAAAGGACTATTTTGGAAGGGTAGAGTAATGTTTTGGGCTATCATTGTAGGTATTTAAACTATAGGAGGTCCCTTCAAAGTTGATGATGGCTTAAGATAATTCTTCTTTCCACTTATTTTCAACATTTTATGAGTGCTACAAGAAACTTTAAACTAAAAATTATATTCATGCTCATCAATGCTTCATATGAAAAGAAAAAAATTATACAAACACATGAGAAATTATATAAAAAACTCAATCACCACACCTTGTCAGTCATTTTTAAAGAAACTTGCATAAAAGAGGAATTGCTGCACAAATACACTATATATATAAATATATATATAAAAACAATATATGAATTTTCACATAACAATTTTAGGAGAATCTATGATGAAGTGAAAAAGTTTTCATTGTATGCATTATGTCCTTTAAGACTTCATCCAACTAAAGTGATGTTTACGTTAATGCAACTACATATGCACACAAAGGAGAGGTGACACTGAAATTATAAATAAAAATTTAAAATTTCATTTAGTTTTTTCTCACTTTTAGCTATAAAATATCCCACATTATGATAAGAGAAGATCTGCTAAGAAAGGTGAAATGTAGTAAGAACCTGGATGTAATTTTACTGTGGATAAGCTAGCAATTTAAAAGCATTTTCTATACATTTTCATTTTAGTAAGGTACTCTTAATTAAAGCAGCATTTTTTAAAATCAAAATTATGGTCAGAATCATTATGGTGAGCAACTAGTGCATTGAGTTTGTTGTTTTGTGTGCATGTGTAGTAACATCAATGTAAACATAGTCTCTGATGAAATCCTAAAGTATAAAACAAATAACACAAAAACTTTTTAATTCTTCTCATAGATGTTGCTAACGTTGATCCTATATATATATATATATATATATATATATATATATATATATATAAATATATATATTCATTTAACATTTGTTTTTATGCATGTATATTAATTTCTATTCTGACAGATATAAGAGTACTTATATATTTTATTTATTTTTACTTACATTTTCATCTGGTGCAGTCTCCTGAAAAATAAAAAGAATATTTTAAATACAATCAGCCAACAATGATGCATCTGTCAATGTTTTAGCATTAAAACAACTGAAACATTTAATTTTATCAACATTAAAAGGAAAAAAAAAGTTTAATACTACTTTAATCATTCATCAGTTTTGCAACTTTTATGTGCCATGTCCCTTCAGGACGTGGTTGATCCTTCCTCTGCACTATTTCCTGTCTCTCATTGTTTTAAGTAACTTTTGACACTTTACCATTTCTCTTTGTCTTTGTTCAATTCCCACATTTATACAGTGTCTTAACATTTCACATCCCATATATGATTTCAATTTTGTTGCAAACAGTCACTGGATGAAACCCATGTGACACCTGTTGCACATGTCTTTCTCTCTCTACTCAATGAGGAACCAATTCCAAAGAGCTGACTCCCTTCATGTTGTTTTCTGTTATTTCTGAGTTGTGTATTGCTAGGATTGTTTGGGGGAAGAATAATCAAGTGATTTCTCCACAATGACTTTGACAAAACTAGCTCTAGTTGACTCTGATTCTATCCACCTTTTCTAAGTAATTTACTCAGCTTAATCTGCCATAAGACTACAATTGTGGGGTACCCTATGACAATCAAGTCCATTACATAGAAATAATGGTCCGTGAGTAGTCTGCTAACCATTGAACAATGGTGAAATATTCCTTATGTATTTATCAAACTTAACTTAGCCTGACATTAGGCCATAATGAAGTACCCAATGAGGATCAGACTCACTACATATAATTAATGGCTAGACTAATTTGTTAACCATTACCTCATGGCAAGGTCTTCAATAGGTATTTGCTAAACTTATCACTAAAATAGTATGCAAATGTCTCAAGTTCAGCAGGGCTTGCCATGACAATCTTGGATGGACGTGAAAATGAGCAAATCCATAAGAGAGCCTCAGTACAGTATGAAAGAGAGAGCTGGTTGCCAACTCATCTCTGGTGTCTCCTTAGTTTGCCAACCTATAAAATTGTGATGATAATGCTTGTATGTAAAAAGAGTGAGTCCATCTTTCTTTTGTATCCAATGCAATCTCTTGAATATTGAGATCTCATAGTTTTGTATGCAAAAAGTATAAATATATTCTGATCTCAGACCATGAATATATTTTTCATGTCCAGTACAATCTTTTGCAGTTTTAATTTTCATATACTGTTGTCCTTTTTTGCTTTTTTTTTTAACTATGGATGAATGGTATGAAATAATCTGTTTTCAGTTTGTGCAAGATGATTTTTGAAACCAGTATAAATTCTGGACTTGAAATATTTTTGACCATTTAACAGAGATTAAAGGTGAGGGTTTCTACTATAAAAAATTTACCTGATGTGTACGGGAGAGGGCTATTTGTAAGAAGTAACTGGGCTCAATTTTAAGTAATTATGTTGCAAGCTATTGTAGCCAAACAAAAACAACCATGTACACTGGTTAGTCATTTATGAAAGAAAACCTTTTAGAGTGAGACCAATGTACATAGCAGTTAATTCAATAATACAGGGAAACAAAACAGACAAATTATTGCTTGTGTATTATGCAAACACTCTATTTTACTTTATGGTTTCAATATATAAAGTTGATGCTAAACTTTTCAGCATTTTTTGACAAAATCTTTTATTCATATAAATTAATAGCATCATTAATCTGTCCTCAAAGTATTTTCCCTGGCTTTCAACAAACTTATACAAAATTTCATCTAAAATTTCACATCTATCATATTTAGATTGTGCAAAAAGTTTCTAGCATTTCTTTTGACAAAATCATTTATTCATAAGAATTCATAGCATAATTATTCAGTTTATTCAGGATTTCCATTGGTTTTCTATGACCTTACATCACCTTTCAGCTAAACTGTATGTTGTATTTTTAAAGAAAGTTACAAGCAGACAAAGGTGGTACTCGAGTAAAAGGAACAGCAACACGGGCATAGATGAAAGAAAGAGAGGTTTATTGTAAAAGAGAATACACTACTGAAAGACAGGGAATAAGTTAGCAAGCTAGTAATTCCTGAAGCTAGTCCGCCAGGTATATCCTGTGCTCACTATATAGTCCGTCCACATATACGATAGGGAGTGTGGGACATTCCATTACAACACTGTGTATTTTATCATAAAAGAGAAATTGTTTAACTTCAATCAATTCTCTAATTAAATATTCAATATATTGAAATACAAAGAACTGATAACCAAAGAATGCTAAATTAAATAAGTGATAGTCTGAAAATGACAGATTTAAATAATAATTTATCTCATTTGTCCAGCATTTGATATATAAAAAATATTCTCTTTCAATCCCACTAAACACTGAGAAGAAACTTTCCCTAGTGTCTTGTGTTTAGGTTACAAGATTGAAAATTGTTCAGGATGTAGCCTTGATTTTTTTTTTGATTCTTGTAATAAATCAGTTTTTCATTGCCAGTGACAATCTTTTTCCCCAGCAAATTCTCTTTAGGTTGAAATGTTGAAGGCTATCCAGGATCTAAACACTGATTTCTTCCTTTTGATACTTGTAATAAATCAATTTTTCATTGCCAGCATCTATCTTTTTATCTCCTTAGTGTAATAAATTAATAAGTCCATTTTTATTCACCATTGATATTATGCCCAAAATTTACTTTTTCTGTGTTGAGCAATAAGAGAAAGGTCATTGATTACAAGCTAATGGGTGTTCCTTTCTGTAATTTTATAGGGAATCCATTTTACTAGATTTCTGAATTTTTCAGAAGTCTTGTAAATGACATATGGCAGTTACCTGGTTGCACAAACAATAAAGATAAGTAAACTTCAAAGATACATTTTTAAGTTTTCATTAACATTATGCCACTTTCAGCAGTGGAAACTTTTGCACCATCTTAATAAAATTTATTGCATTTTACATAAATATACTATTTGTAATATATCTTTTTAATAGATCAATCATGATTTTTTAAATCCAAATTTATTTCAGAATGACCATAATATAACCAATAATGTGCTATAAAAAGCTATGCTTCCCTCAAAGGTCAAGGAGTCATATTTTGATGCTCAATACATGAGGTTTTGTATCAAATTTAACATAGTTAACTTTTCATGTGGTCAGAGGAGAGACATTTGAATGAATGGACATTTCACAAACAATATTCTAAATCTACAATTTACCAACAAATATTTGGTTGAATGGACTTGTAACCAAGTGAACACATCATCTTTTTTATTTTATTCTTAATTTCTTCTTTGCAATGTAATTGCTTTCTAATGATAAAAATACAAAAAAAAATATTATTAGAGTGGCAAGTTCTCTGTGTTCTAAAAAATGTCAAATTCCATGTTATTCAGTGACAGTAAATTTCAATCTGCATAAAAATACATGAAAAACAGACTTGTGTGTAAACAGTAAAATATACAAATATATAGCCTACTTATATGGGCATCTTTATTTTTTTTGTGCTACAGTGATTTACAAGTGTGTCCCTCAGAGTCTAATCTATGGTGTGTTGACAAAAACTGCAAAATAATTTACTGCCATCATAATAAAATCATCATGGAAAGCTGGATTTTCAGCTCTGTATTTTGCCGAAAGTGTGCACTAACCAAGTTTGCTAGCTTTTCGTTTACTCATTGTGAAAGATAATCAGACCAGCGTTTAAAAATCTAATTTAATTATGAAACAAACAACTTTTATTTTTACTACCCTTGATGGAATATGGCATGCTATTAATATACTAATATCACATGTGGGTATTTGCCCTGCAGGGGCCAACAGTGACCAGTTTGGCCAGGTTAACATCATGAATTAGGTTATGAACCCATGTATTTATAGAATGATATGTTGCAGCAATATAGGTTGTATTATAGCATTTGTGCACAAGTGACTGACTTCACTGTGTATTGCAAATTTATGCAAAATAATGATTCTGTTGAGTTTCAGCTCAGGCATTTTATGTTTTACTGTTGGAATATTTTATTTTTTAGTAGCAAAAATCCCATTTTTTTTACTTTATTTCCATGTTTTTTTTTCATTTTCCATATCATGGAGAACTTGCCACTCTCAATTACACAATTGCATGACAGAAAATGCTGTTCTGTTATAGGAATGGAGATTTCATCATCTTCTGCTACAAAGAAATTTTAAAAGCTTATAAAATATCATGTGGCCATAGATTAATTCAAAGATTTTATATGTGGGGGGTGAAGTTTACATATATATTGTATATATTAGGTGTGTGTGCCATTTATTGCATTCAAGTGTTTATCAAATTGGTTAAATTTCCATTCAGCTCAATGTCTGCCAGTGGAATATCTCTTGGCCAAGTGATTACAAGCCAAATAATGTTTCAAAATTGTTATTGCTGTAACTAAACAGTGAGGACTTAATCACAAAATGATGAAGTTTCTAATTTTCTCTCAATTCATGTGGAACCCAACAAACATCAAGGCATGTGTAGAGAAGTGGGGGTTGACCATCTCTTGAAAACTATACTGGGTACTTAACGGTTTTGCTTGTTTATATAGCAAGCTTGTACATTGAGGAAGTAATAAACAAAGTATATTTAAATCATCATTTAATGAGAAATGTAAGATTGGTTACTTACTGGCTCTATACGATAATCATCTGGACGAGAAGGAAGATCGATTTCTCCATTTGATTCAATCTGGAAATTTTAAAAGATTATTAAAGATTATATGGAACGTGTGTGTGTGTGTGAGGTTTATAGATAGAGGTATATATAGATAAAAATACACAATCATAGATATTAGGCCCTTTATATTGCAATCTAGCTTTCTAAGTAAAAACATGAATATATTTTATTGTCGAATGTGATTTCCTGTATAGCGCAATCCTATATTTTTGTAATGTGTGCACAAAAGTTCCCCACTCTCAATTTCTTAAAAATAAAGAATAAATACGAACTGGTTTTTCACTTGAATGTTTTGCACATACTTAATAAATATAATGAATATAATTCTAGTCTCTCAGCGTACGTATGTATAATAGCATTTATATTTGCACACAAATAAAAATACATTCAAACATACATTTATAAATATACATAAATATATGTGTGTGAATGTTTGCTAGATGAATTAAAAACAATGTTTGGTAAACAGCCTGTGTTTTAAATAAAACTGTACAAAAAATGCTGTCAAATTATGCATACTGTAGCAATAAACAGATATCAAACTTTTTCAAAGCTTTTATATTGAAATATTAAAAAGGAGGGTCTCTTTTTTAAATTGAAAGAAAAAACTATAATTACTTTCTTAGCTACCCACAACCCACACTAAAATAATGCAAAAATCAGTTGTTATATTCAGACATAATGAAGAATGATTTTTCTGATTGTTTCATTGTCTATGAAAATATACACACTCATTGTTGGGTAAGTCAGTAATGAGAAAATCTATTATTGAGGTGCCACTCAAAGTGAGCAAGTGCTTTGCTACCATAAAATTGGAACTTAAAAAATTACATGTTTAAAATGTTCAATATTTACAAGAGATGACTGCATTTCTAGACAATGAAAACGTAGACCACCATTACAATAAATAGAGATACCATGGACTGGGTGTGGTTATAATTACTATTGTGTTAACCCAGACATTAAAGTAGAGTGTCACATGCTTCAAGATGAATTAGAACTTTTTTTTTAGCAGCTCTATGCAGTCGTGTATTAACTGATAAGTAATCAATAATCTTTCTGTTGATTTTTTACTTCTTTATTGTTAATGTATTTTAATTGCATTTGGTAATTAAATACTTTATTATTTCACATTGAAGTCTTCCTGTTATTACTTGCATTATGAATGGGTGATGGATTACAAAATATATATAAAATGAATGATGTTTATATTCTTTTTTAATACTGAGTCTCTTCACGACATGGCTGATCATTACTGTCAACAGATTCCTTTTCTTTATTATCTGAGAATTAACATGCACTTTTGGAAAAGCTAGTGAAGCGTTTTCCTGTTGCCTTCTCCATAGTTTAGAATTCAGAATTTTTCTGGTTGCTAACCAAGGCTAGAGAAGTCAGTCTGCTTTACTATTTAACCTATAGATAGGAGGGTGAAGAGATGGATTCATACATTTCCCAATATTAGTGTGAAAGTGAATGCAACAGATTAGGCGAGAATTTGAACCCAGCTCAATTCCACATTCCATGCCAATATCCATTACACTTAAATTTCAGCATTCCAATATCTTCAACCTTTCCTATTGTTGCATAATTAAAACCAATACTTGTGTTTTTATATCTCCCCCTACCCTTCCAACATATATAATTCCATCAACAAAAATATTACTTTAGTTTTATAAAATCCTTCTTGAGGACAAAAAAATGTTACACAGAATTTTTTCCACTTTGTCATTCATTTGTCTAACATAAATACATCTAAATATATTTTTTAGTTTCTTTTCTAAAAAAATAAATAAATAAATAAATAAATTAACATATATTCAAAAATATCTATGAATTTTTTACAAGTATTAAATCCAAAAGTAATGCCTTCTATTTTATTAAGAAGTGAGAGGTAATAATATGGCAGAATAGGTTGAACCTTCCTACCAATAATCCATATTTATTTACCTTGACACAGAGAGCAGCTGAGCAGCAATCTAGCAAAATTACATCTAACACAGTTGAAATAGCAACTAGATGTAACTGTAAGTTCTATGCTAACAACAGTTTCTTCTCTTGCACTTCTCGCTTATGGAACTCTTTTCCAGCTTCTTGCTTTCTTTTCAATTTTGATCTTCAAAGATTTAAATGCAATGTAAATTGTTATCTTTTGTCTTCTTAATTCTTGTGCTTTTATTACCCTAATTTTTTAAGAGTATTTTTGCCCAAATTATTTCAGTAAACTCCCTTGCATCTTAGTGGCTTTATTGCCTTGCTTGGGTGAAATAATTAAAACGAAAAAAAAAATTATTTGAATTTGCAAATAAAAGTTTTGGATGATCTGACACTTCTTATTAAATCAATGACCAATAAGTTACAACCACCAAATTCTACTGTTGTCACAATTTTATCGAACCATTTTTTAATCATTTCAACCCAAGCAAGACAATAAATATTCTAAGATACAAGGGGTTACTGAATGCAATAAAAAAAACACTATTAAGGAAATAAAAAGAACAGAAATTAAGAGACAAAAAGATAACTCTTGACATTGTATTTAAATTTTTTTTGACCGGGAAGCAAGAAGTTGGAAGAGTTCCAAAATTGTGAAGTTTGATAGAAGAAACTGTTAGTACTGTTCAATAGTAAAATGATGAGACCTTGCCACCAATCTAGTACTGCACTTAAATTCTTAAAGTCTAGTTACCAAAGAGAAAAGGTCATCAGAACAATTACCATGAAAAGGTACAGGGAAGCTACATTATGGTGATAGGAAAAGGTAAAGGACTGAAGCAGAGATGCCAGATCAGGATCAATAAAATTACAGATTCTTCCTTGGATTTTATCAAGGACCTCTAAATACATAATATAAATTAGCAATTATTTGGATAGAAGATCTTGAATACAGGTTTGAAAATATTGAGCAAATATTGAGCAAAAATGGACAAAAAAATTCAGTTTTTGGTCACTAAATTTTATAAAAATTACTTTTTCTAAAATAAAAAAATTCAGGAAGAAATGCAGATCAAGAACAGTAAGGGAAAATTAAATTGGAATTTTTTCTTTAAATTATAAAAAATTTATTAGTAAAAAATTAATTAACCAAATCTGTAACAGACTTTTACTTTAATAATCAGGAAAATAAATGGTGCTAACTACCTAGGCATTTGCAACCTGCCATAAATGAGTATGACGATGCACTCTACAAAACCCACACAGCCTACACAGCAATTCCTCAAACTACAGTGTTATTTTAACCTAAAGAGTGACATTTTTATCAAATTTGTATCCATAAAGGAGGTATTTATGTAATTCCATTACAAAATAAACAAGCAAACATCAGATAAAATAATTCTAACCCATTCAGTTGATCACACTAGCACAATGCTGGCCAGAAATAATCTCTTTTGAAAATGGAGTGGTGTCCTTTATTTTTTAATAGAGCACAATCTTACTGACCAGGTACAAAAAATGAATAGTAGATATCATACTAGACTAGTAGAACCAAATAAATGTACAATTTGTATTAACAATTGTGTTTTAAATCAATTTTAGCCGATTTTAACCATTTTTATTTTTTTGTCAGACATTCTTTAACCAAAACAAATTGGGCGAGTAGTGTAGAATTGAGAGTAATTTGTTGTTTAAGCCCCTAATAAAAATTTCTGGAATCGGTGTATTTAGGTGTAAATGCACATGCTTAATTCGAAAATAACAAAGAAATTTTGATAAAATCTACTGTTTTGCTGCTGCAGTTATCCACAATAAAAAAAAATGTTAAAAAAAAAAACACTTTACGGAAGCGCGTAGTGATTTCTACAAGGAATTTCTGTAAAGGAAGTAAATAGGCCCAAATTTTATGACTCCGCCAAAAATCGTTCGGCAGTGAATTACTTCTCAATAAGCCGGTAATGGCTGACAAAAGACCGAGAAATCCGATTTTTTTCGGGTCGTTAACATCCAAAAAGATAGGTTTCTTCATGATCTAATTGTTGATTTGAGTTCAGCATGTACATTTGCACGGAAATAAAACTATTTTGGAAAAAATTGAAGGGATATTAGAGCGCTGGGAAACAAAGTGAAAATTTACAAAAAAAAATGATAGAAAGGAAATAATTAATGCACAAACTTTGCACGAATTTTATTACAAAATAAAAAAAAAATGGGTAAAATTGGTTTTTAAAGCCCAGGCCAAAATTTATGCTATCGCCAACGGAAGTACTCAGCAGTGAATCAGTGAACATTATGGCAGTAATGGGGGACGAATGACCAACAAGAAGTCCGATTTTTTTCTTGTCGATAAGTCAAAAAAAATTTCGGTTTCTTCGTAATTGTTAATTCGAGTTCAGCATGTACATTTACACGGAATTATGACGATTTGGGAAAATTTTAAGAAATATTTAGCGCGCGGGCGTTAAAAAGCAAATTTACCAAAAAATGCTCCTTTCTAGCAGTTTTTTTATTTTAAACATGCTCTTTACTTTACTTTACTTTACAAAGTTCGAGCAAAATTTGTGCATTAATTATTATTTTCTTCTTACATTTTTTTTTATTTTGCAATTTTATTTTGTAGTAAATTTCCAGCCAAACCCAAACACTGTGGTCGTGAAGAAATTTATAGTTTTTTAAAACCCAAATTTAAATTAAAAATTAAATTCTCAATTAAATTCAAGTTTTACCCGTGTACGATCTTAAATTACAAATAAATACATTTTTATTTAAGAAGACTCAGACTACTGCCGATTTTGTTCTCGGCTTCTTCACAGGAAAGTAAAAAAAAAATAACTGAATGAATCAGACGATATGGAAAATATAAGAACAAAATCTAAAGTTCACAGAAAATCTTTAACAAACACAAAAACAATTTCATTCATATTATTGTTCCATATGCTAAAAATACAACAACAAACAATTATAATAAACAAAAATAGATTTAACTACTTACATAAATAATTTTGTCAGTCTCTAAAGAAAGTATTATTCTTTAAACTGACAACAAACATCATTTTTTTCTTTCACTTTTCTTTTTTTTC